AAATACCTGCTTGTACCAAATGTTTTCTAAAACTCATTGAACTTATTCAAATATCCTGTCTTTCCCTCTCTTCCAAAACACTCGCTATCTATAACAACGTCTTCTAAACTTACCACAAAAATATATAAGTACCTCATCCACTCCCTCCTCTTCCCTCCATCCTTCTTTCCTCACTTTTCCTGCATATCACGCAGTCTTTCTGAAAATAATACCTGTCGTCAGATCCGATGTCTTCGGAGAAGAGGGGGTTGTTTCCCGCTTTACTAAAAGACTAAACCTGTCGGATCACAGATATCAACGACATCTCAGCCACGCGATCGGCCGCACTAATCTCGGCCACGCGAGCAGGCGCACTGATCGCGGCGTCCGAGCAGCGCTCAGACCAGACCTCCTATATCTAGCTCTTCCATAGTTCCCCTTCGCAAGACAATCAATCAGAACCATCACCGAACAGAATGCATTCCTAGTTATCGTTATTCCCTTTCAGCACTAGTGCTACAGCCCTACCAACAAAACCAAACGTACTCAAATCATGCGCTCCGCCCTTCCCTACATACCACGTAGTCTTCTAAAAAATCAAATGGTCAGATATGATGGCTTCGGAGAGGGGGGGTCGTTTCCCGCTTTTACTAAAAACACCAACCAAACTCACTCATGTGCTCTGTCCTTCCTAAAAGTCTGAAATACTACCTACATGTCCACGGAGTTTTCTGAAATAAAAAAAGGAATAAAATATGTCGATCGAGTAAATGTCTTCAGAGAAGAGGAGGCTGTTCCCTGTTTTGCTGGGGAAAAAATCAACGTGCACATACGACATGTGCTCTGTCTTTCCCAAAAATTGCGCCTTATGTTTGCATGTCTGCCAGTGTGGATGGGATACAAAATCTACGGCGGTGGAAAGAAAAAAACCAAACGCACTTATGTCATGTGCTCTATCTTTCCAAAAAGTCAACACGTAAGGCCCCCATGTCTGGTGGGTGGGGCTGGCTGGGCTCGTTAAAATGTACGCGGTGGACGTGTTGTTCCTCCTTTGTTACAACAGTTTCTAGGTTGTACTTTTGAAATTAAAACACATGAACGAATTCGGTAATGGTGTGTTCTCTGTGTTTGTTCTTAAAATCTTACAACAACAGCACATGTGTGGCTCTGGAGAAGCTGGACTGGATGTGTATAAATTCTACACGGTGAGCACTTTGTTCCTTCTTATAACAACGGTTTCTGTGTTGTACTTTCTAAAATTAAAAGCAGCCGACGACTACGACGATGGTGTGGTCTCTGTGGTTGTTCTTAGAACCTTACAATGTACAGTTGATGTGTGGTCGAGGAGAAGCCTCGGCACGGGAGTGTGTATAAAATCTAAGACTTAGGTGTCTTCTTCTTCTTTATAACAAAAAATTACGTTTGAAATCCTCTAATCAAAACCAGATATGGTTGCTGCAGATGTCCTGCGCCCTGTTTCTTCTAAGAGCAGATACGTTCGAGATATGTCTGGTGGACGGACAAGACGCTTGTGCGTGAAATCGCGTATGAAATCTGGGTCGTTGTGGAGGTGTCCTTGTTCCTCTTCTTTATCTTCTTGATTATTAAACCCCATGATTTTTATTCTCTAAACTAAATGCACAGCGGACGACTCTATGTCCTTTGTTCTGTTTCTTCTAAAAAAAAACTACACTCGGTATATGCCTGGGTGTCTGAGTGAACGCTCAGACGTGGTTTCGTGTATAAAATCCAGGCTGCCGTGGAGCTTTCCTTCTTCTTCTTCTTCTTCTTCTTCTTCTTCTTCTTCTTCTTCTTCCTTACCACATGAATTCTTTCGTATATCTCTCAAATCAAAATACGAACATGACCTGCTCATGTCTCCTCTGGCTTTCCGGGAATCCTGGGATACGTGGGCTCGCGTATAAAACCTCTGCTGCTGTGGAGGTATCTTTCTTCTTCCTTACAACATTGATTCTTTTTGTATCTTTTTTAAAAAAGTGTCGGACACGGAGAATGTGCATTCCCTGGGGCTTTCCAAAAAAAATCGAAAACAAGCTTGTATGTCTGGCTTTGGACACGAATGCGTGTATAAAATCTAGGGCGGTGCGGAGATGTCCTTCTTTCTCCCTACAAAAACTGCTTTCTTGTATTTTTAAAAAAGAACATGCAAAAGAGACCACCATGGTGTTTTTCCTCTGGTTCTCCTAAAAGGTTTAGCAATCAATGTTATGCTAAGCTGCGAGACGATTTCAGGACTACATTTCGCGTCTAAAACTGTTGTGGGTTCTTTCTTCTTTCTCCCCTTCGTGACAGTCGCTTAAATCTCCGTTACCGCAGCCCTCTCCTTCCTTCCCTACGACATCAATTTCTATATCTAAAATTAGTTCCCAAAAAGTGGATGGTTTCCTCCCTCTGTCTTCGCAAAATCCACCGGCAGAGTCCTTTTTCCAGCTGAGAGCGAGAGCTTAGACATGTTATGGCATATAAAATCGCCGTCGTCGCAGCCCTCTTCCTCTCTCCTTACTACACCGATCCTTATATTTTATTTCTAAAACTAATTTCGACAGAGCTGATGGCTTCTCTTTCTGCCTTTCTTTAAACACCACGTTCGCGAAATTATGTCCGACTGAGAACGGAAGCTTGGACCTGGCCGCACATATAAAGCTTCTGTCCTTGCAGCACTCCCCTTCCATATTACCACTTATTCTTCTACTCGATATTTCCAAAATAATAGACCCAGATTTCGATGGGTCATTTCCTCTGGATCGCCTAAAAACCACTCCCACCTTTATCATGTTCCGCTCAAACTTCGAAACTCCTAAAATTTGCTTCTGGGTTTCAAAATGTCAGAGAAAAGCTACATATTCTTCCGAGATACCGGGGTTTTCTGTATTTCCAAAAACTATGAACTCTGGGTACATGGTGCTGTGTTCTCTGTCCTGCTAGAAATTTACAACCGGACTTTTAATGTGTGACAAAAATTACCTGAGGCCGTCTGATGGCGGTGTCGTTGTTGAGAAAACCGTACTATATTTCTCCAAAAAAAAAACAGATCATCGTGTTATGACGCTCTCTTCGGCAAAATATTAAGCCCAACTTCCCATGCGAAAAAATCTAAAGAACTGCTTGGTATGCCGCTTTCTCTGGCTAGAAGAGCTAAAAGTATAGTCTGTGTGAGTTGCTTGCTGGTGTACCAAAACATGGGAAAACATGTCACATGTTGCACTAAGGTCCCATGTTCTTGAAATTGAAGATGAAGAACTCTATGTCCTGGTTTGTGGTTCTTGGCTCTGCGTGGATGTACTCGGACGCATTGGGAGGGGCTGGGAGAGTATAAAAGGAGCTCTGTGGTTACTGATCTCTTTATTCCCCTTATTCCTCACTTTTATCACGATACTCAAAATCAGAACGGAAAAGAGATATGGGAAACTGTCTGGAAGGATTCAAAATTGTAGGAACTCATACTGCGTGGAACTCATACTGCGTGGAACTCATACTGCGCATTAGACTTCCTATGCATCATTACCAGAGACCCTGCACTAAAAACACTGCACGGGTGTGTCCATGCCTCTTTTTCTTGAAAAAAGCTTCAATAAGGACTCATGTTGTTCTCTTCTGCTTACTAGAAACTCTAAACTGAAAGACATGGCCTATCATTCCAAGCTTTTTCTCCTCCTCAGACCAGCGAGAGAAAGTCCATGTAGTTCCCCTCTATTCCCAGAAGCTATTGACTGAAAGAGGTAATCCTCAAGTACATGTATCTTTCCCAAAATCCACTGAGGAGCTGTGGATGCTGTTCCCCTCCCTCTCTTCTTCCTCATCTCTCAAAATTCCATCGTCCAACCTGCCCAACCCAAAAAGCCAACCCATATGTGCCCGAATCCCTCAACCATTAACACCGACGCCGATGCCGATGCGCCATCTTTACCGAGCGCCACAATCTCTACCCTGCGCTTTGATTCGCCTGCCACACCACCTCTACTCAGCATCCACCGCCCATCGGACACCGACACACACCTCATACTCAAAACATATCGCCGAATGTGAGCATAAGCCCTAACTAGCATTTTCTCTCCTACTATTTCTCCAGCCTCCGACATCGGGGCCTTTAGCCTTCCGAGCCCGAGAGCGCAATATTATATTGGCGGGGTGTCGCTGTGCAGACGCTGAGAGTTACTCCGAGGAGCTGACATGAGGAGCTAGATGGAGGGGCATGGAGGGGTACGAGCGGGCAAGCCCCGCTCGCTGTTAAAGACGTGAAAACTCAACCCGGACTGCATGGTTTGTTGGGACAGATGCATGGTCACAAACTTGACTCTGGTTAGATCAGGTATGGGTTTGGAAGGTGGGTTAGCGGGTTACGTAGGGTACAAGGTCGTGGTACGGGTAGTATCGGTTGTACCTAGACCCTTCCAAAGTTCGCATCGAGTGTTGCTCTCCACGCCGGGTACACTAGCTTAATCTGGCCGGTAACGGCGCTGCATTAGTCCCATGTTTGCTGTCTGTCACGTGCAACGCTGTAGGCTGGGTGCCTAGGTGGATGTGACTCTTCGACCGCGAGGTTTCTGGTTTCACTTGAGAAGGGTTAGCGTTGAGAGGTTTAAGTGGCCGTGGATAGAGTGCCGTCGGCGTGCGTGCTCCTAAGACAAATCAAGTGGAGAATTGTTTTGAGAGAGATTGGTATGGGAAAAGCATGTGCAAGTTGCGGTGAATTGTTTGATGGAGGCTTGTCTCGCCGTACTGCTTGTACTGCGTCTATTGCAGCCTGAACTGACCACAAAACGGGTCCCATTCTGGTTGGTCGTACCATGGAATCAAGACATATCTCGGACCTGGGCGTGGTCCTTCTAGTTAGTCAAGAAGGGCGACATGGAAGTGCGAGAGACCAGGCAGACGTCGGTACTCCTGTAGTCGGGTACGCCAAGATCGCATTGGAAAAATATCTCGTCTCGTCACTTTCCATCCTAAACTTCAATTTACTCCAGCTCCACATCTATGCAAGTTCCCTTTGAACTCCCCCAAGAAACACACAATGGCCACTCAGAAGGTAACCCCCTATCAGGAAAATTTCGTGGTAACTGATCTGCCAGCCGAGCTGCGAACTATGATACTAGACTATGCATTACAGTCTCAGGCATGCGGCGTTACTTACAGATACAAAAACAAAGACCAAAGATTTCGACTGACTCCGATAGTTCCGTACGCTTTCCACCTTCCAAAAGATGCCAACCAGCTCAAGTACGTATGCCGAACCTTTCACATGGACACAAAAAGACGGGCCCTCTTTTCCAACGACCTTACCTTCCAGCGCCATACCGAAGAGCAGCCATCCACCTTGGTACAGTTCAATGCATTCTTCAAACAATGCAGTGAGAGAAATAAACGTCGCATCGGCACCATCTATCTACGGTCAAAATCCCCCGAGATGGGGTCCCTTGGAGATGCGAGTAGAATGTCGATTCCGGACGATTTACCGCTTCCTGTCTTCTACCCACGGGATATAGCACTGTTCCAGAACCTAACCCAGTTCTGTCTGGACTTCCCAAAAGCTACCGTATTTCTAAGACTCAACGGCTTTGCTGACGGAAACAACAGAATCTCTTATCATGCTCTTGGCATGTCGATGAATGGACTAGGTGGGGTTTACATGTGGTGCGGGAACACACTAAGGGACATCACGTGCCGTATCAAGTCCGTGCGGGACTAGTGGCAGTGGTCGCGATGAAGGCGAGGATCAATTAACCCCAATTACACTTTCTCTTAACATGTTTTATAAGCGAGCCGCCAGTACAAGCGAGCCGCCACCTAACCAACTTTCTACACCTCTCCTATCTTAACATACAATGGCTCTACGCAGCGCGCCTCAATTAGCTTCAAATGAAGCAGATATACAGCTTGCTATCTCTTCTATTAATGCGCATCAAATTAATAGTGCTTCTACTGCTGCAGCTATATATAATGTCCCACGTACGACACCACCACGCGGGAACAAGAAAAACGCCGACTCCGGGAGCTCCGCGCCCCAACTAAATGTTTCCATCCCAACACGCCCCATGCGCACCCCCTATCACTCAACCATCATCCTATACAACCCTAGATATTTTCGCGCATCTTTTTCGCCATGTCAAAGAGTGGGATTTCCAACTTTGACACACCTAAAAAGGCTCGCATTAAGGGTGCAGCTGAGTTCATGGATGCAAAAGGTATACCATACTTACATACTGATCTCTTCGCTTTCAACCACGTCTCTAAGCAACAAGGATGGGCTATATTGAAGGAGAAGGGAGTAGAGCACGATCGGACGCATCATAATGATCCTACAACCGAAGAAAAGCGCGGAAGAAAGCCAAAGTTGAGCCAGAAAGACCTGGAACGTTGCGACAGATTCCTTCAAGATGTCGGATGGGATGGAAGAGTCCTGACGTGGCCACAACTTGCAGAGGAGCTTCAGCTCGACGTTTCTGGCAACACTCTTCGCTCCGTGCTCGGTTCTATGGACTATCACAAGTGTATTGCATGTACAAAAGGCTGGGTTTCAAGGAAGCTTGCGAAGAAGAGAGTTGAACATTCTGAAACGATGCTTGCACTCAAACCTACCGCAGAAGACTGGCGAGACGTACGCTTTTCAGATGAAGTACACTGCCGTGTAGGTCCTCAAGGCAAGCTTCGGATTATCCGGAAGCCTGGGGAGCGTTACTGTAGTGACTGTATTCAAGAGCAGCTGAATCGAGATGATGAACGAACGTGGGAAACCTCGCACATCTGGGGCGCTGTTGGCTACAACTTCAAGTCAAACCTCACGTTTTACTCAAATCCAACCAACCGAAACGGCAAGCTCTCTCTTCATGTGTATCGGGATCAAATCCTGGAGCCTGTGGTGAAGAAATGGGTCCAAAATGATCCCCCCTTTATCCTAGAAGAAGACAACGATTCCGGGCATGGAGGTGGAAGCTCTTCCAACATTGTAGCCACCTGGAAACGCCAGAATAACCTCGATTTCTTCTTCAATTGTTCGAATTCTCCTGATCTTTCACCCATAGAGAACTGCTGGCAAGTGATGAAACAACATCTCAAGAAGTTTCCGCACTGGGATGAGTTCGAAACGAGAGAACTGGCCTCCGAGGGATGGCAGAAAGTATCACAAAGCTTCATCAATGAGCGCATTAATCAGATGCCAGAAAGACTGCAAGCTTGCATTGATATGGAGGGTAGAATGACTGGTTACTGAAGAAAAACGGGATGAAAACACACCCTGAACGCTCTGTTGAGCTACAACCCCAAGAAAAAGTCTGTATACAGCTTTCATATACAATTGCAAAGCTTCAAGCTTCAATTTGAGCCCAAATATGAGAGATTACATGTTGTTTTGGTGGTGCTGTAGTACTAATGGTGGTGCGCCAAGACATTTGCGAGTCGGCGTTTTTCTTGTTCCCGCGTGGTAGGCACATAAGATGGAACAGTCTGTGCACAACTAGGGTAGATAGGAAAACGAATTAGTTACCTAGTAAAATTTAACAAAAAATATAGAAAAAAGTGTCTTTATTCAAGAGAGAAAAGAGAGTAATATAGTAAGCTTTTTTTATTTTATTTAATTAGTTTTCTATGGAGTTATAGAGAAAGAGAAAGGTTTTTATAACCCTTGTTAACACCCTTGTTACACCCCTGTCGTGTTCCATCTTATGTGCCTACCTGCAGTAGTTACGTGATGATGCGATCGGACGCTGACGACGACGGTTACCTGGACTAGTCCGAGCGCGGGCATATCTTGCGTGATATAGAGGAGGGTATGAACAACGAACCTCCAGAACAGTATCGACGTCGCATCTACTACAACGTGAGCGACCATCTAGAAGAAGCAGGGCTGCAGCCTCCTAAAGTCAATACGGAAATCGTCTGGACCAGCTTAGACGGCCCCATCATGATCAAAGATCTTGATTGCGATACCTTTGATGCAGAGGAGTGTCTAGCACCGGGGTTCTCCACCCAGTCAGCGGACGCGCAAGCCCGCAGTCCCGTCTTCTCGACTGCTGCCATATTTGGGCGGGTTTCCCGCGAATATCCTCGTTGTGGCGATTGTCTCATCAAGCTTGTTCTTAATCGGCGTCGCTGCGGTCTCGGGCCCCTCTTACCCCATTTTGCGAAGAAGCCACACCAACGGGAGGTCATAGTGAAGGCGCTTATGAAGTACCAGTACACAATCGTGCAGCCTGATGCAGCTTTCCACATGGTTACAGATGCACAACAAGCCGAGCACACGCTGCTAAGGCCATATATCAAGCACAACAAAAAGGTGGGGGAAATGTGTTTGAACGACGATGTTCTCACACAAGACGAGGGGGAACTGGAAGCCGTGAGAATGGTGATGGGTCAGCTGTTTGAGGGACTATTTCCCAACAAGAGTAGCTTTGAGTTATAGTCCAGGGTCAGCCACGTTGCCCTGCAAATTCCCGATTCTCTCTTCAATTCGTTCTACTTTGTTCGCTGGCGGACATGATGTGTTTGTACCATTTCATGGACTGTTGTAATTTGTTTCCTCGCATGGAAGCTACCAACTGCTTCAACTTGTGCATTCACCAAGTCAATAGAATGGATGTTTATCAAGACCTTTTTCCGGGGTGCTTTCTCGGTAAGGTCCTCGACCAGACTGCGCGTTGCTTCTTTGACGTCTTTGCGATCCGTGGCTGTGCGCTAGTACGTCCTGGTTAGGAAGCGCTAGTCCCAGGAACAGATGGGGCGCAACCCCTGAAGTGGCCTGTCCTTTGGCGACCAGCAACAACACCGACGTCTAAGAACTCTGCCGGGCCTAGACTCAAAGTCCACGGAAGTCGTACGCATACGCTGTGCTGACTGAACCGTGGTATGCTGATACGATAAGGCGTGTCTCATCCAAGTATCAACCGCTTCGGTTATCTCCTTGGGTCAGCTAGTAAATGAGACTCACGGTAATTGGGAATTTACGTGCTGAGACAGGTGTTGGTCTTGATCTTATGCATCAACACAAGATTGGAGAAAGATCGTACGTTCCGAGCGCAACGACCCGCTCGACGTTCACACTATTGACGGCTAGGTACGCTAGGGCCACAATACCTAAATCTGGATACGTACATCTTCGAGAGAGATTCTATGAGCGATCAGCACACGACCCTAGACTTCTATATGACAGCGGGCGCTGGGGTACCAGGTTTTTGATTTTGTGGAGAAACACATACTACAAAAGGGGCTCTTATCCTCAGGGCCTACTATGGAGGCTTATGCCATGCACGAATAAGGTCCCTCAAGATACGGTAAAGGTGGTTCAGTGAGACTCGAATGAAACGCCTACTCAACAGATGGTCGTGAAGTCGGCGAGGGTAATTCCGAGATCGCTAACAGTGAAACTCCAGAGCAGATGCTTCCAGTTCTAGGATCCCTACTGGACATGATGCATCGGTCCGTGTGATATCGCGTGCATCCGAAGATTTATACATCGTATCCGGGATTCACTTACATCCCGATGCCAACCATGACATGCAGCCGCGTCACGGTCTAGAGCTGAACGTCGTCGCATGGAATCGATAGCAAGCGAGTGGCCGATGCTTCAGCTTCAGGGGGAGGTGCCTCGTAGACCAAGCTTCTATCGGTTGCTGAGTATATATGGCGATTCTGTCTCACTTTGCTTTTCTTCATCCGCAACTTTTCTTAATTCAATCTCAAAATTTTTATATCGCACTCTCTGAGTGACGACCACTCTCGTTAATTTTCTTTATAAACTCACCCCAGTCAATCGTTGTCTACGAAATAATTCATACTTAATACCTATTTCTTAATACCATCCGTTACGTATTTCACCACCATGAAATACGCACTCATCTTCGCCGCCACGGCGGCAGCCTACGATGCCTACGGCGGCGGCTATGGCAGCGGCTATGGCAGTGGATATGGAGTGCCCAAGAACTCCACCACCCCGGCCGCCAAACCGAGCACGTCGAGCACTTCCACCAAGCCTGCTGGGTATACCACCATCACCCCAGGCTACGGCAAGCCTCCGGTCACCGTGACTACAACGAATCAGCCATACCCTACCTGCGTATCTGCAGGTGGCTATGGTAGTAGCGAATGCGCGCAGTGGAGCGAGAAGCCTTATGTGTCCACGACCATCAAGGACTACGACAACCACAACTGCACCATCACGGACGCCGCTCAGCCTGTTGTTGTCTACCATACCAAGACCACAATCACCCACGAAGCTACCCCAGTCTCGACTCAATCAGGTAGCTACCCTACTCCTACTGGACCTACCGGCAAGAACAGCACCGGCTGCTGGTATGAGCTGTACGAGAAGATTGTCGAAGTTCCTTACGACAAGCTCGGTTCTCACGTTCTTCCCGGTTACCTGGGCTCTGGTCTTTGCAAGTCATGCGACACAGAGCAGCCCGTTCACGTCAAGGAGTGCAAGGGCGGAAAGTGTACTGAATACGATGAGGAGTACATTTATGGCGCTCCTAAGCCCGATGTTACTACATACTCGACAACCGGTGTCTACACTGTTCCTGGCGCGAAGACAACCATGTCCGGCACCCAGGTCTACACTTACCCGGCTCAGACTGTCACTGTCACCAAGCCCGGCCAGGCAGTTACTTGCACGTACGAGCAAACCAAGACGCACCAGGCTACACCCACTCCGTACCAAGGCGGTAGCTACCCCGTTCAGCCTAACTCAGCATCAAACCACGGCTCTAATGTTACCCCCAAGCAGCCTGAGGGTCCGAACGGATACCCATCCTCTCCTGCTCAATCCCCCCCGGCTGCGGCTCATGGAAACTCTTACGGTTCCCCTCAGCAGCCCAAGGGTCAGAATGAATACCCATCCTCTCCTGCTCAATCCCCCCAGGCTGCGGCTCATGGAAATTCTTACGGTTCCCCTCAGCAGCCCAAGGGTCAGAACGAGTACCCGTCCTCGCCTGCCGGGAACTTCGCCAGCTCACGAGAAAGAGCTACGGCAACACCACGCCTTCCACTCCTAAGCAGCCTGAGAACGGCCAGAGCAACTATCCATCCTACCCCTACTTCTTCCGGAGCACGCCCAATCTTCCTCGGTCGTAGGTGGTTACCCAGGTACTGTCCCTGCGGGTCACTCGGCTTCCATGGCTACCGTTTCCAAGGCATCTTCAACTCCCTGCACGAAGTCTCGCTCGTCTTCTGCCGCGCACGCCACGTCCTCCGTCCACGCCACGTCCTCCGTCCACAGCAGCGTAGTGTACAGTCAGTCTACATCTAGCCCGGCCAAGGCATCTTCTACTCCTTGCACGAAGTCCCATTCGTCTTCTGCCGCGCACGCCACGTCCTCCGTCCACGCCACGTCCTCCGTCCACAGCAGCGTAGTGTACAGTCAGTCTACATCTAGCCCGGCCAAGGCATCTTCTACTCCTTGCACAAAGTCCCATTCGTCTTCTGCAGCCCATGCCACGTCTTCTGTTCACAGCAGTGTAGGATCAAGTTCTGTTGCTACACCAGCCGTCTCGACAGGTCACAGCCAGTCATTGTCGACTCCATGCACCACTTTGGCTTACTCGGTCCCGACCCCGGTTCACTCTTCGGTTCACAGCAGTGCAGTATCTAGCCACTCTGTTGCCACGCCTGCTGTTTCTTCGTCCCATAGCCAGTCGACTCCTTGCTCTTCCTCCACACCGGTTCACGCAACGTCCTCTGTTCACAGCACTGCTGTATCTAGCACCCCCTCCCCGGTTCAGTCGACCGCGCACTCGTCGACTCCATGCTCATCTTCGACACCGGCTCATGCAACAACCTCTGCCCACAGCACCATGGTGACCAGCTCTACCCCAGGTGTACCGATTGTGCAGAGCAGCAGCACACACGCCCAGTCTTCGTCTACTCCTTGCACCACGTCGACTGCTGCCCACAGCACTGCTAGCTCTACTCCAGTCATGTCGACCGTTCACAGCACTGTAGTGTCAAGCACTACCAGCTCTACCCCAGGTGTGCCGATTGTGCAGAGCAGCAGCAGCACGCACGCTCAGTCTTCGTCAACTCCTTGCACCAAGTCGACCACTGCCCACAGCACCATGGTTACCAGCACACATGCTCAATCTTCATCGACTCCCTGCACCACCTCAACCTCGGCTCCTGTAACCTCCGCTTACAGCACTACCTCTACCCCAGCTGTGCCGGCCGTTCAGAGCTCCAGTGCCCACAGCCAAGCATCATCGACTTCCATCCACAGCACTGCCACTCCTACCCCAGTCAAGCCTACAAGCCAGAGCAGCAGCACCCACGGTCAATCGTCGTCAACTCCTTGCTCTTCGTCGACCCCTGCCCACAGCACCATGGTTTCCAGCATCGTGACACCCACCCCAGTGGCCCCGACTAGCACTAGCACTTCGGCACACGCAACCTCAACTCCCTGCACTACCTCTGCCGCCTCGACACCCACCCCAGTGCAAGCAACCTCCACCCACGTAGCATCGACCCCGACACCGGTGAACCCCACCAAGGCCACTTCCACCCCTTGCGACGAAAACAAGCCCTCAGCTACCTCTGCTGCGCCGTCCAACCCGTCCAGCGACAATGGCGAGCCGGCTCAGAGCTATGGCAAGACTGAGCAAGGATACACCAAGCGTGGTGGTTTGATCCAGCGCCGCAAGCCTATCATTGCCAAGTCAAAGCGTGCTATTCTTTTGTAGATTTTCATTGTGTGATGAGAAGGAGGTGTATTTCGGCGGCATTCAGAGATGACATGCCGTATAGCGGATGTGTATAATAGAAATTAGTGATATCCAAAACAAGTTGTTCAAAAGTATCTAGATTGTGGTGATGCAAGTGTGTAGAAGTTCAAATAAATCCTTGTTAAATTCGTAATTGTTTGTTCTTTGCTTTGGTACGCCGAGGATAGGTAATATAACCCTGTAGAGATAGAATATATTGTTCGTTTGATCCTTTCATCCCATGTACAATGGATTCTTAGCAAGTACATTAGCAAGCGCAATACTGTAGAAAAGCAGTCTGCTTACAATAGACCTTTTCATGCAATTTATCATCTAATTTTTCACTTGCTGGTTCCTACATATATCCCACGCATATGAGTATCTCTATCTCAAATACCTTTTACGGAAAGTATAACATGGGTTAAATAATAGTGTTTCGAATGGATAACATGATCCATGGGCGAGCGGCGCACACGGGCGAGCGGCGCACCCCACCAACTTTACTCACCTTACTGATCTTAATCTACAATGGCTCAACGCAGCGCTACTCAATTACTATCAAATGAAGCAGATATTCAGCTTGCTATCTCATCTATTAATGCGCACCAGATCCAAGGTACCCGTACTGCTGCAGTAGTCTACAACGTAGCCGAAACAACGCTCCGCCGCCGACGCGCTGGTATACCTGCCCGACGCGATTGCCCGCCCAACTCAAGGAAGCTTACCCAGAGAGAAGAGGAGGTGATTATTAGCTATATACTTCAGCTAGATCTGCGTGGATTTGCGCCTACCTACACAGCTGTACGTGATATGGCTGATAAGCTGCTGGCTGCGCGTGGTGGAGAGCAGGTTGGAGTCAACTGGCCATCTACCTTTGTTAAGCGTACAGACAGTCTTCGGACGTGTTTCAACCAAGCGTACGATAGGCAGAGAGCTCTTTGTGAGGATGCAACATTAATAAAGAGGTGGTTTAAGCTTGTAGAAGAGACAAAGGCTGAGCTAGGTATCTGCGATGAGGACGTCTACAACTTTGATGAAGCTGGCTTTATGATGGGCAAGATTACAACGCAGCTAGTTATAACAGGAGCAGAGAGGAGAGGCAGGCCGAAGAGTATTCAGCCAGGCAATCGCGAGTGGGTAACGCTGATCGCTGCTATCAGCGCTGCTGGCTGGTCAGTCCCACCGTTCCTCATCTTCGCTGGCCAGTACCACCTATCAGCCTGGTATAAGGAAGCTGAGATCCCACGCGACTGGGCGATCGCAGTCAGCGATAATGGCTGGACGAATAATGAGCTTGGAGTTGAGTGGCTAAAGCACTTCAACGCTCACACGCAGGCTCGTAGTGTAGGCGCGCGTCGCCTGCTTATTATTGATGGCCATAAGAGCCACCAATCTCTAGAGTTCCAGGAGCTCTGCAAGGAGAACAATATCCATACGCTCTGTATGCCTCCTCACTCATCTCACCTACTCCAGCCACTTGATGTTGGCTGCTTCTCGCCATTGAAGCGCGCGTACAGCCGTGAGGTGGAGAGCCTTATGCGCAACCACATCAACCACATCACCAAGCTAGAGTTTCTGCCAGCGTTCAAGGCAGCATTTGATCAAGCGTTCACGCCAGCCAATATCTGCTCAGCCTTCCGCGGCGCAGGCCTTGTTCCTCTACAACCAGAGGCTGTTCTATCAAAGGTAGATGTACAACTGCGTACACCTACTCCTCCAGCAGCTCTGCCAGAGGCTCCCTGGGTAGCTCAAACGCCGAGCAACGCGCGTGAGCTTGAGGCTCAGTCAAGCCTAATACGTGAGCGCGTGCGCCAGCACAAGAGCTCATCACCAGCTTCAATTATTATGGCGATTGACCAGCTAAAGAAGGGCGCCGAGGTGATGATGCTCTCTGCTGAGCTGATGCGCGATCGGATCTCTAGTCTTGAGAAGGCCAATAGCGCAGCCTCAGAGCGTAGGCGGCGCTCTAAAAGGCGTATACAGAAGCATGGAGTACTCACAAAGGGAGCTGGAGAGGATATACTGGCTCAAAATGAGGCTGACCAGCAGATTGCTCATGAAGAGCGTCAAGGAGGAGCGCGATCAGGCCTCAGCCAGCGGGCTCAAAGGCGCTGCACTAGGTGCAAGGAGACTGGGCACAACTCGCGCACATGCAAGACTGATACTATTAATATAGAGTAATCTACTGTATCAATATCTAGCAATAATATTATCGCGTTGTTGAGATGCATCGCTTTAAAGTTGCAAAAGTTGGTGGGGTGCGCCGCTCGCCCGTGTGCGCCGCTCGCCCATGGATCATGTTAGAGTGAGTTTGCATAGATCTATAACATGTTTTATAACGTGTCCGTGCGCGTGATGCGCGGATTCGCGTGATGCGCGGGGAACACCAAAACACGTCAAACCCCTTCACCTTCAACACACGTTAACTCCACCAATATGGACCCAATTCAAGCTGCGATTGAAGATATTGAAAATCTAGAGCCAGGAGAACAGTTCTCGTATACTAAAATTGCTGCTAAGCATGGTGTTGTGAGATCTACGTTGACCCGAAGGCACCAGGGCCAGACAAGCTCAGAAAGAGACAAGAACTTCAACCAGCAGAAACTCAACCCACAACAAGAGCTAGAGCTTGTGAGATATATCGAAAAGCTCACAAAGCGAGGCATTCCTCCTACACGAGAGATGATCAGGAATTTCTCATCAGAAGTAGCCCATCAGCAGCTCAGCGAGAGCTGGGTTACTCGCTTCATCAACCGACACGAGATCCATCTCATCTCAAAGTGGACCAGCGCCATGGATCGTACGCGCCACCTGGCTGATTCTGAGTCAAAGTATAGACTCTACTTCGAGCTGCTGCATCGAAAGATCACCGAATATCACCTAGAGGCTCGAGATATATACAATATGGATGAGAAGGGCTTCTTAATTGGCTTGATAGGCAGAAGTAAGAGGATATTCAGCAGGCGTCAATGGGAGAAGAAGGAGGTTCGAGCATCTCTCCAGGATGGATCACGCGAGTTTCTGACAGTCCTGGCCTGCTGCTGCGCTGATGGGAGCTCGCTGCCTCCAGCCCTTATCTACGCAGCTAAAAATGGAGCTATACGATCGAGTTGGGTAGAAGATATCAAGGCAGGAGAACATGAGGTCTTTGTCTCATCATCTCCAACAGGCTGGTCAAATGATAACGTAGGCCTAGCTTGGCTGGAGCAGGTGTTTGATCGCTCTACAAAGCAACGATCAGGTAGATGGAGATTGCTCATCCTTGATGGCCATGGATCTCACCTCACGATGGAGTTTATTAAGTACTGCGATCGCCATAGGATCCTCCTCATGATCCTTCCTCCCCATTCGACCCATACGCTCCAGCCGCTAGATGTAGTGCTGTTCAAGCCACTCTCTCAAGCCTACTCTAACGAGCTCACTAACCATCTCCATAAGGCTCAAGGCCTTATTCCAATCAAGAAAGGGGACTTCTTCCCGCTCTTCTGGAGCGCCTGGATATCCTCCTTCACAGAGAGCCTCATATTGAAGGCCTTCGAAGCCACTGGGATCTGGCCGATGGATGCCAACGTTATCCTTCGTAGATTTGCTAGCACGCCAGAAGCTGAGAGAAGCTCATCGTCAGGGCTCTCTGATCATGACTGGAGAAAGCTCGATCGGCTAGTACGAGCTGCTGTTAATGATAGCCATCAGTATGAGGCAAGAAAGCTGCGCTCAAGCGTTCACCATCTCTCTGTGCACTATGAGCTTTTAAAGCATGAGAACGAGGGCTTAAAGGAGGCTCTTCAACATAAAAAGAAGCACAGGAAGAAGGGCAAAGCTCTTGACCTTCAACAGCGCCAGGAGTATCACGGTGGCTCTGTCTTCTGGTCTCCTCGCAAGCTGCGTGAGGCTCGAGCTAGAGAAGCAGTACGGGAGCGAGATGAGACGGAGGAGAAACTCCAAAAAGCACGGTCCAAGAAGCAGCGCGAGGAGGCTCGACTGCAGCGTCAAGATGAGCTCGAGGAGAGGCGTGTGGAGAGGCAGAGACTCAAGGAGATGAGGGAGCTTGAGCGAGCTGAGAAAGCAGCTGAACGCGCGCGCCAGAAGGAGGAGAGAGACGCTGCTAAAGCTATACAACTACCCCAAAAGGGAAAGAGGAGAGCTTCAGCAGCTACCTCATCGAACAACAAGCGTCAAAAACGCGTTGAGGCTGCTCGCGCTGGTGCTCAAGTTCAAGAAGAGCCTCCAGCTCCTCCATCAAAGCTCACATCACGTGGCCGCAACGTCAACCTCCCATCAAAATATAGATAGTACAAGTTGATCGCAAGCATCTAATTACTCCCCCTCTATAAATTCGTATAATAACAGCTTATATACGTGGCTTAATAGCTTCATTTTTGAAGTAGTGGATATGGTGTTCCCCGCGCATCACGCGCACGGACACGTTAAGCGAGCCGCCAGTACAAGCGAGCCGCCACCTAACCAAACTTTTGCAACTTCAAAGCGACGCATCTCAACAACGCGATAATACTATTGCTAGATATTGATACAGTAGATTACTCTATATTGATAGTATTAGTGTTGCATGTGCGTGAGTTGTGCCCAGTCTCCTTGCACCTGGTGCAGCGCCTTTGAGCCCGCTAGCTGACGCCTGATCGCGCTCCTCCTTAACGCTCTTCATGAGCAATCTGCTGGTCAGCCTCATTTTGAGCCAGTATATCCTCTCCAGCTCCCTTTGTGAGTACTCCATGCTTCTGTATACGCCTTTTAGAGCGCTGCCTACGCGCTGAGGCTGCGCTGTTGGCCTTCTCAAGACTAGAGATCCGATCGCGCATCAGCTTAGCAGAGAGCATTATCACCTCAGCGCCCTTCTTTAGCTAGTCAATCGCCTTAATGATCGAAGCTGGTGATAAGCTCTTATGCTGGCGCACGCGCTAACATATAAGGCTTGACTGAGCCTTAAGCTCACGCGCGTTGCTTGGTGTTTGAGCTACCCAGGGAGCCTCTGGTAGAGCAGCTGCTGGAGGAGTAAGTGTACGCAGCTGTACATCTACCTTTGATAGAACAGCCTCTAGTTGTAGAGGAACAAGGCCTGCGCCGCGGAAGGCTGAGCAGATGTTGGCTGGCGTGAACGCTCGATCAAACGCAGCCTTAAACGCTGGCAGAAACTCTAGCTTAGTGATGTAGTTGATGTGGTTGCGCATGAGGCTCTCCACCTCACGGCTGTACGCGCGCTTCAATGGCGAGAGGCAGCTAACATCAAGTGGCTAGAGTAGGTGAGATAAGTGAGGAGGCATACAGAGCGTATAGATATTGTTCTCCTTGCAGAGCTCCTAGAACTCTAGAGACTAGTGGCTCCTATGGCCATCAATAATAAGCAGGCGACGCGCGCCTATAGTACGAGCCTGCGTGTGAGCGTTGAAGTGCTTTAGCCACTCAACTCCAAGCTCATTATTCGTCCAGCCATTGTCGCTGACTGCGATCGCCCAGTCGCGTAGGATATCCTCCTCATACCAGGCTGATAGGTGGTACTAGCCAGCGAAGATAAGGAATAGTGGCACTGACCAGCCACCAGCGCTGATGGCAGCGATTAGCGTTACCCACTCGCGATTGCCTAGCTGAATACTCTTTGGCCTGCCTCTTCTCTCTAATCCTGTTATAACCAGCTGCGTTGTAATCTTGCCCATTATAAAGCCAGCTTCATCAAAGTTGTATGTGTCCTCATCGCAGATACTAAGCTCAGTCTTTGTCTCTTCTACTAGCTTAAACCAGCGTTGGATAAGGGCTGGATTCTCACAGAGAGCTCTCTGCCTATCGTACGCTCGGTTGAAACACGTCCGAAGGCTATCTGTACGCTTGACAAAGTTGCGCGGCCAGTGGATGCCAACCAGGCTAGCGCCGCGTGCAGCCATCAGCTTATCAGCCATATCTCGTACATCAACGTAGGTAGGCCCAAATCCACGTAGATCTAGGTGAAGGATATGGCTGATAATCACCTCCTCTTCTCTCTGGGTAAGCTTCCTTGAGTTGGGCTGGCAATCGCGTCGTGCAGGTATACCAGCGCGTCGGTTACGTGGTCACGCGGGAACAAGAAAAACGCCGACTCGCAAATGTCTTGGCGCACCACCATTAGTACTACAGCACCACCAAAACAACATGTAATCTCTCATATTTGGGCTCAAATTGAAGCTTGAAGCTTTGCAATTGTATATGAAAGCTGTATACAGACTTTTTCTTGGGGTTGTAGCTCAACAGAGCGTTCAGGGTGTGTTTTCATCCCGTTTTTCTTCAGTAACCAGTCATTCTACCCTCCATATCAATGCAAGCTTGCAGTCTTTCTGGCATCTGATTAATGCGCTCATTGATGAAGCTTTGTGATACTTTCTGCCATCCCTCGGAGGCCAGTTCTCTCGTTTCGAACTCATCCCAGTGCGGAAACTTCTTGAGATGTTGTTTCATCACTTGCCAGCAGTTCTCTATGGGTGAAAGATCAGGAGAATTCGAACAATTGAAGAAGAAATCGAGGTTATTCTGGCGTTTCCAGGTGGCTACAATGTTGGAAGAGCTTCCACCTCCATGCCCGGAATCGTTGTCTTCTTCTAGGATAAAGGGGGGATCATTTTGGACCCATTTCTTCACCACAGGCTCCAGGATTTGATCCCGATACACATGAAGAGAGAGCTTGCCGTTTCGGTTGGTTGGATTTGAGTAAAACGTGAGGTTTGACTTGAAGTTGTAGCCAACAGCGCCCCAGATGTGCGAGGTTTCCCACGTTCGTTCATCATCTCGATTCAGCTGCTCTTGAATACAGTCACTACAGTAACGCTCCCCAGGCTTCCGGATAATCCGAAGCTTGCCTTGAGGACCTACACGGCAGTGTACTTCATCTGAAAAGCGTACGTCTCGCCAGTCTTCTGCGGTAGGTTTGAGTGCAAGCATCGTTTCAGAATGTTCAACTCTCTTCTTCGCAAGCTTCCTTGAAACCCAGCCTTTTGTACATGCAATACACTTGTGATAGTCCATAGAACCGAGCACGGAGCGAAGAGTGTTGCCAGAAACGTCGAGCTGAAGCTCCTCTGCAAGTTGTGGCCACGTCAGGACTCTTCCATCCCATCCGACATCTTGAAGGAATCTGTCGCAACGTTCCAGGTCTTTCTGGCTCAACTTTGGCTTTCTTCCGCGCTTTTCTTCGGTTGTAGGATCATTATGATGCGTCCGATCGTGCTCTACTCCCTTCTCCTTCAATATAGCCCATCCTTGTTGCTTAGAGACGTGGTTGAAAGCGAAGAGATCAGTATGTAAGTATGGTATACCTTTTGCATCCATGAACTCAGCTGCACCCTTAATGCGAGCCTTTTTAGGTGTGTCAAAGTTGGAAATCCCACTCTTTGACATGGCGAAAAAGATGCGCGAAAATATCTAGGGTTGTATAGGATGATGGTTGAGTGATAGGGGGTGCGCATGGGGCGTGTTGGGATGGAAACATTTAGTTGGGGCGCGGAGCTCCCGGAGTCGGCGTTTTTCTTGTTCCCGCGTGCCTACCTGCAGTATAGAGCAGAGCCTCGCGGTGCCGCTCTACAGCGTAGTGGAAGGCGATGTTCCAGGAATAAATCTGGAAGTCTGTTTCCCCGCGAAACCGCTGTGCTGCACTACGAAAAGCTGGTCCAGGGAAACTGGTAATGGCCTCTCGCATAACAACCTGGGACAGGGAGTGGCCAAAATGTACCTGGCCTTTGCGTTTACGTGCACCAAAGCGGCGGTTGAGGAGCCAAGATATATAGATCAAGAACGGCTTCTCTCCAAATCTCTCGGCATCTTTTTCGGTAGGCGGACTCAAAGTATTATACGTATTGTCCTTGAAGCCAAGAGTCGGCCCAAAGAGTGGCGAGTACAAATCGGATGCGGAGTGTGGTTTGCCAAGGATCATGTCATCGGAGAGGGCAAATAGCCGGCCGGTATCAGATTTGGTGTTGTAGAGCTGATTCTCGATGGTCAAAGAGTCGAACGTGGGCAAGCATTTTCTTTCCTCTGGACCAAAAAATTCTTCTTGGGACAGCACCTGGACCTGGTGGGCATCTCCCCTCAACCAGTATGGGCTTTGTTTGCCCATTTTCCCCACTGCACTGCCGTCGGTTGGACTCTTTTCGTACGCGTTGACGAGAATCTGAACTCGATTCAAGAAAGTGCCGGCGTACAGCTCGACACTTCTCATGGAGTAGCGCAGCTCATTTCATTCGCGATAGCGGTTGGCGCCGTGCGACGCAAGCCATATACCCTCTTCGTCATTGAGGGATGAGTTGATGTCGTACGGACGCATAGTCGCAATCAACTCTGGTTGAGAACCATTGACCCCTGTAAGATTGTCAGTCATGTCCGTATCGTCTGACATCATTTGCATACAGTTGTAAACAAAATCGATCTTTGGTTCTGGGAGATGAGGGCCTTGGTAGCGAGCCTTTGCTACCCATGTGTCTTCCCAGCCCTCTAGTACCACGTCTTGGACAGACTCTTCGATCGATACGACAATCATATCTGGGAGCGCGTCCGCCTTCTCCTTGATGCTCTCGCATTCAGACCAAGACGAAAATCGATAATTATTAACTGGCTATTGCGTATCCAAGTTCTTCATCGCGCCTGTAACTGGGGGGTGGGAATGTCCTTTGTGGAGTTTTCGAGGACCTGGCGTAGTGGCCACCAATTCCGAAGCCGGTAGCGGAGAAATAAGTTCGCCCTCGGGGGCTATTTCAACCATCCTTGAATGGCGGCGTACTTCTGGAGCGGGTCGATTGATCTGAGCAGCAGAAAGCATGCCACATGATACCCAGAGCACAATTGAGAGAACAAGAAACATGACGAATGCAAGCCTGACGAAAGAACGACGGTGCCGGTTGTAGGGCGAGGGAGGGTGCCAAATCATCATGGATAACCCGTGAACTTGCTTCTATCTAGCTACAGTAAGAAGATATGTCGACTATTGCAAGAATAAACCGGCTCGATTATGAGACTCTGGGCAGTCATGAATGAAAATGGTACCGATAACAAGGGGGCCGTATCAAGAATCCATCGCCAGGGTCAAGAGCTCCATCGTTTCAAACTAGAAATTATCAAGCTCTGTTCATATTTCCCTTAGGGCTGAAATGCAACACTTTGGCGATGAGGCGGAAAAGAGAGTATGTTGGATCGCCGCAGGTACCCGTGGGGGCCTTCCAACCAACCAGCCATCATGGCCGGCGACGATGTTTGCTGCATAGCATTTGTTTTTCTCGGTGAGAATCCATCATGCAGGGCTGGATAGCTGAACGTGGGCTCGGCGATGTCTCTATAGTATCGCGTCTTGTTTGTGGTCAAAGTTTCAGACGCCTCTAGGACGCGCCTTCTTTCCTGTAGGCCAAGATGCGTTAGCGGCTTGGCAGACCTTCTTCCCTACGGCATCGCCGCACCCCTGCTTTACAACACATCTCCCGGAACACACGGACAGAGTATCTAAGACAGAAAATCTGACACCTCGTCGATCAAAGATTCGCCTACCGAGTATGCGCCATTCGATTCGAGAGCAAAGCTTTGGTCATGTCGGACTACCCAGGGACCAAGCTGTGACAGCCCCATCTTCCATGACCCCCAAACTTGACAGACTCTTTGAACATGGCTGGTTCTGTTTTCATGGTGACTTTCTACAGCTTTGGTAGGTCAGCTAACTAGACAGCTGGAAACCCCGCTTTCGATGAGCGCAATTCGCACTTCTCTCCTTATTGGACACTTTCAAAGACATAATCCACTCACCCATCTTCGGATCATCTCATGATTTCCAGCTCGCTCTCGACACTTCTGGTCTCAAGTTTCATATGCTTTTCATATCTCCTGTCTTACCCAGCCCTCAGCTCAGCTGTCATTTTGCGCCACTGTTGACCAGGCCGGCTCACAACGAGATAATTCATATCAGTCCATATTAGGCCACGGTGGTGCTAAGGAACAAGACGCAACATACGAATCCAGGCATCTTCAAAATTGCAAAGCCAAATCTCGCTTCTCTCAACGGTCTACCACTCAATAATGGGCCGCAAGTCTACCCTCGCCGTCTCTCAAAAGCAGCCTACCGCGTCCTGAAATATATCTCCCTCTTTCTCATATTCTTTATCCTTCTCTACACACTGACATCCTAAATTTCAATATCCTCCTACATCTCTCTCCCAAGCAGACCCCCCTCAAACGCCACCACTTCCTTGTACACCCCCACCAACACCAGCACCCCCGACCACCTCCAACCCACCCCAAAATCGCAAAAGTAACCGCCTCCTCCGGCCCCCCAGACCTCACCTACGAAACCGCAATCTTATCTCACACCCCGCACAACCTCCACTTCTCCTACCCCTCCTTCATCCTCCGCGAGCGCATGCTCCCGGGCCTCTGGTCCAAACACGCCTACCTGCTCACAATCCTCGGTGCTCAAATCGCTCTCCTTCCATCATCGCGGCTAGACTGGCTCTTCTGGCACGACCGCGATACCATTCTCACTAACCCCAACATCCCCCTCTCCATCTTCCTGCCACCAGAAGAGAAGTTCAGCTATGTAAATCTAGTCGTGACGAAAGATCGAAACGGGCTGAACAACGGGGTTTTTCTGATCAGGGTGAATGAATGGAGTGTGAGGTTTTTGGCGGCATGCTTGAGTTTGAGGGAGTGGGGTAGTGGGGTTGTGTTGAGGTATAGTGAGCAGAGTACTATGGAGGTTGTTATTGCGAGGGTGAGTTTCTTCTTCTTTTTCCCCACCTTCTTCAATTGTTGTCCGGCTCTGGTTGGGGGTAGGTATGCTGACAGATACAGGACTCCTTCCGCCCTTCAACAACGCTCGTCCCTCAACACTGGTTCAACGCCTTCCCCCCTCCTTTGTCTTCCCCCTCACCTTCTTCGTCCCCATCGCCCTCGCATACCCGTAAAGGAGCTTTGCTATTGCATTTTGCGTCGAATAGGGATGGGAAGCGGCCGCAGCGTATGGCGCATTGGGCGGAGATTGCGGCGAGTACTAGTAGTGGGTGGGATGTGCCGTTGAATGAGACTGGCTTGGTGGAGGAGATAGCGCGGTTCTGGGGAGTTTGAGATGGTTGTTTTTGCTGCGTATGGTAGATTTTTTTGGATAGATGAGCATGGTAATTGGGATAAAGAAGGATAGATTGCACATCATAGAGTCCTACTGAAGGAATAGAATAGGGTATCTCCTGCCTCGTTGACCACAAACTCCTTTACATCATGCCTGGGTATGCCCATACCCATTCATCCGTCGTCTACTTGATACTCATAGTCATCTCCAAGCCCGCTTCCCCACGCACCATACTGCGTCTCTGCGGCACTAGATTCTCTTTATCAGCACCCTAACCCCTCACCGCCGAACGCCCAAGTCTCCACCCGGCAGCAGCAACAGGCGCCCTTGTAGTCGGCGGCGCACCAACAACCATGGCAACCTGCTCCGAGGACGCCGGCGACGGCACCGGTACACCCATCCCATCCCTCCTCCCCAAACTCTCCCTAACATCAACCGCAGAATCCACATTCCCGAGCCCCAGGCCCAACCCCCTAACCCCGCGCTCTACCTCCACCGCCGTACAACTCCTACCCCTCACACCCCCTTCCACATGTTCCCTGCTACCTGGCAAAAAGATGCGTCTAGCACCCAACGTGCGTTTAATATCCTCGAGCAGCACCTCCATGGGACAAATATACGCAATGCGATTCCTCTGACAAAACGCAAGAACATGACCCACAACCCTATGTTGACCATTCTGCACAACCCACGCGCCAGAGTCACCGCCAACACCGAATTGGCCGGCGACGTGCCAGGAGCGGGAGAAGGATTTACGGTGGTAGATGCGAACGGCGGACATTGTGCTGGATACCATGCCCCCTTGCAACCCCGTTGTGCGGCCGAAACAATGGACGTTCATGCCGCCGAGTTCAGAGGCTGGGGCTACACCATTGGGATACTCGTCTTCGTCGGCCGTGTACTTGCGGCGGTTCACTGGGGAAGCTAGTTTAGCGGCGATTGCGCGCTGGGAGGGGGGCATGGGGCCTGTTGATGGGGGACAGAAGCGGCGCCCGCCTTGGCAGATGTTGTAAGGTTGGAGGCGGTCTTTGTCTAGTTTTAAGAGGGCCCAGTCGATTTCGTGGAGGATGCCGCCACGGTTCCAGCGGCGGATGCCCGACGAGGCGTACACGTGGCCGAGGGTGTGAGAAGAGAGGTGGTCGTCGTCGCGGTCTTCTTCTTCGGGGAAAAAGTCTGGGTCTACGTCGTCGATGGCGGGTTGGGTTATTTTGATTGAGGAGCCGTGGCCGGGGAGGATGCCGTCGATGTCGCCGGTGGTGGCGTGGGAGATGGTTGAAGAGGCCATTTCTGGGTTGTGTTAGCTGGAGTTTTGCACATGGATTCAATGACATGTACATACCCTGAGAAGAGTCGTCGTCGGATTCTTCGCTATCGTAGTAATCTTCGGCGTCTTCGCAGTCACTGCCAAAGTCTTCCTCGTCTTCAGATAGTTCGAGATCCCACATCATGGCAGGCTCATCAGACTCCAAGTGAAGACCTGGTTGTGCACCCATACCCATTAGCCATGGGTTGTTTGCTGCACTGGACAGCATCGTGTCGCTTGGGTAAAGATCGTCAATGTCATCATCTCCGGCGTCGCTCTCATCGTCGGATGGCGCATCGAGCAGGTGATGGACACTCATACCCAATGGCTCATCGTCGACGAGGATCACTCCACCGTACGACACAGGCGGAAGGTGCTGACCATTGAAAGCGCCTATCGACGCCCCACAAAGCGGCCGCTGCTGATGGTACGGGTTCATGACAGCCATATCGGCGTTATAAGAGTCGGTATTCATCATGGATCGATGGGGAGGCCTGCATGGATTAGCAACCATTCACTCCAACTTCACACAGCAAAAGACGTCTTGGCTAGGCATCAATTACAAACACGGACTTTTAGGCGCATCCTATATAGTCGCCACCGTACTATGGATCGCCCAAACACATGCCTTAACAAGTTGCGTTAAACGTACCGAGTGCGACGCGAAGAGCGACTCATTTTTGACCGCCTGATCTTTCCTCGTCGAACTTTGAGGTCATAGACGTTTTCGTTGTAGTGGAAGCGGCGGCCAAGGATAGCTTTGACCTTTGCGACACTGCTACATGTGACGAAGACTGTTGGCTTGGCTTTCTCCAATACCTCTCCGGTAGCTACAAGGTCGATGCTGATTGTTTCTTCGGAATCCTTCAGTGCACGCTCAATAAGACGCTCGAGGCGGGGTAGCATGGTCGAATGCCATTCATCCACTATATCTGGTGTGAATTTGACAGTGAAGAGACGGAGCTTTGGACGCGCAATGGGCCCCATGTCTGTTTCAATCTGAGTTGAGGAAGTGATCATGCTCTCACTCGAGTCCACTGTTCTGCTCTGAATTTCAGGTTCGGGTGTTGGGTATCCAAGAGTAGCCTCCGGCCAATGGCGCATCCCATTAGTGACTAGCGCCGATACAGTGTTGTTTGTTGGCTTCTGCTTCGTTTGTCGCCAAGCTTTTTGGATGATACAGGCCTTTTCCTTGTAGTCTTCAAGGGTCGCATGTTGTTTTGGTGTATTGCGTGACTGTCGCCATGCGCGTTGGATAATTGATGCGGCAGTTACGACACGCTCTCTATATAGCGATGACGTATCACTGCGGTCTTGTGAATTTGGCGGGGTTGCAATGAGGGTGCCTGATTCCTCGAGTGGATTTCTTTGTTCCCATTCCATCTCAGGCGCGTCCGGCTTGGGACTCATTATGCGCAGACTTTCAGAAATACTTTTACAAATAGAATGTTGTGAGCCTCGTGACGGGTTCCTTGTCAATGACAGATCTGGTGACTTCTTTGACAGAGACTTTGTTCTTTCCAGTGCCTGTGATCCCTTCTCAAGTGCCCATCGCTTTGCATTCTTGTATGAAGGGCTTGAATGAATTTCTGTTGCAATCTGGGGCTGACTGAGGCTCTTACGCTTTGGTGGAAGTGCTTGTTGAATCGGCGTAACACCGGGTCGTAGCTCACTCAAGTCGAAGCCAGGCTCAGATTCATCGAGCATACAGCAGCGTTGCAACCTGGTCAGAATGCGTGTGTACACCTGCGCAACATGTGCTCTGCTGTTGTCCTTGGAATCGGCTGCCCAAAAGCAATCGCGTACCACTTGCATGTATGCTGTGCCACACTTGGAGGCGAGCCTGCGGATATAAACTTCTTCTATCCGCTGCTTGAAATCAGCCAGCCTGTATTTCTGCTTCCACAGGTCTCGAAGTGGCATCCACAAGCCATTTTCGAGTAGAATTAGCCCGAGACCATACAGGTCGAAGTTGGCATCGTAGCTTCGGCCCTTGATCCCAGTGACCTTGGGGTCCGCTGGATGACGGTAAATGTTGGGTATCGAGGTTGCATTAGCTTTCTCGATGTCAAAGTCGGTGAAGAGGTCGAAAGAGCATATAACAGGCGATCGCAAAGAGTACTGCAATGCTCTACTATTGGCAGATTGCTGCTTGCTCTTCCGGAACAACATTATGTTATCGCTGTTGACGTCTTGGTGGACAAAGCCGTCGCCATGAATCTTGCTAAAGGTCAGAGCAAGTGTGAAAGCCAGACGGAAACGATCCTCCAGTGGTGGTATGGCACTGTTGGGGTTGTGCAAATCCCTTGAACCTGTCTGAAGTACACTGAGAAGAGAGACTGGCTTCAACTCGTCTATTGATTTGTGTGAATCAGCAGGTCCGGAGTAGACAGAGGTTGGTAATTCGAATACCAGACCAAAGCGTGGTTGTATGGGGTCCTCAAAGTAGCCAAGACACTTGAGTGTGCCGTGGAAAGAGTGGTTGTTGGCTAACTTTGTCAGTATCGACAAAAGCTCTTCAAGGCGCTCTGTTGGTGGAGAGACTTCAGTGAGGCGATATGTGGGGTCATAGCTTGCATAATCTACCAGAACAGCAGTCCCTAGGTTTCCAGCGTTGGGTTTCCAGGGGTTCGTTGAGCTGTTTCGGGACCGTAAATGACCGATAACTCGCACTGAAGTGGTACCAACGCTCTCGTAAGGCGGAGGTTCCTCAGGATGGAGAGACAGATCGGAAGGATCTAGCTTTGGAGGAAGATGAGACGGCGGTGCATGTGCGTTGAGTGGGAAAGTGGCGGGGTTGACGAGCGTCAGGTCGGAAGCGTTGTACTCTGTAGATAGAAACACTGGGGTGGATGTAGGAGGATAGAGTGTAGCCTTTCCTGGGCTTAGACCACGCTCAGTACCTCTTTGGCGTCTTCGGTTTCGTGAGAGATCGTAGAGAATATCGATGGAGGTTGTAAGATCCTTGATGAGGTCCTCATAACGTGACTTGTCGGCGGCCGCCCACGAGGGAGGGTCAGGCCGGCTCTTTTCTCCAGACAATGTCTTTCCTCTGCCAGCAGCAGGTGCAGCCGGGTGCATCTTCTCTGCTTCATCGAGTATCTCCTGGATCGTTCGCAGCACGCTTGTGACCGTTTCCGTCATGCCTGCCTCTTCTATACTCTCGTCGATGTCGCCCGGACGGCCCTTTGAGCTGTCGCTCCAATCGACGCCCCATGTTATGAGTCTGTCTTTTTGTATTCTGAACTTGCGATGCAGCGCATGCGACTCTGGTGTGTCTTTTGCATCTTGCTCCACAACTGCATCGCAGGTGGTTTTGGTGTCGGAGTAGAGTTGGGTCAAACGTCGGGGTAATCTACTAATCGTCTCCATATTCGTGACGGGACTTGAGCTTGTCGCAACGGCTACAGCGACGCGCTATGGGGAGGATGAGGTCTATTAACTGTTGGGGGATGAATGCATGGACAAGATTTGCAATGCGACTGCCTTGGAAATGGTCGTCATGGCGTAAAGACCGTGTTCTGTCTCACTGGGGGGCATATTGTGGTTGCCTACAGCACATGTGCACTGCCCTCAGCCGTACATGGTGGGGACATCTGGCCAATCACGCGTCTTCCATCTCCGCCCGCGCCTTCATCTCAGCCGCCTTCGGTTCTCCCGCAGTCGCGCCAAAATCCGTAGGCAGCCTTGGGATGCATCACGCGTATGGTGTTGGGGGCCCACGAGGCGCCCACTCAACTCAGTATTCCATTTTCACTTTGCATGAAAGAAGCACGTTTATGGAGTCAGAATTTGTCTTGTTATTCTTTTGCTATCATCATCATATCATGCCGCAATAGGCCCTAATAAGGCAAACTTTTTCTCTGCCGCAGTAGATATCATGTTAACAGGTCGTGGAAACAGGTTAGGTCGCTGTCTAGTCATCCTCAGTCAGATCACCATACTCCCACTGGCCGCGACGCTCCTCCTTGGCCACATCCTGCTTCTTCTTCATAGCAGCGAGGATGGCACCACCGCTGCGCTCGAATGGCCGCAGCTTCTTGGGCACCATGGCGAGACCTTCGCTTAGGATGTCGGCGTTGATGCTCTCTGTGCCGTCCTTGCTCTGGTCGGGGTTGTAGAGGGTGACCCACAGCAAACCGTCCTTCTCGGTTGCTTCGACCCTGGCTACCAGCTCGCGGTCGGCAGTTTCTTGGGCGATGAAAGAGACGGCATCTGCGAGATACTCAGAGTTGCCAGGGAGCTGAATGTACGCCAGCTGGGCCTCAATAGCCTGAGGCTTCAGCTTCGATGGCAGGAATTCGGGCTGTGAAAGTGGGCGGAGACGCGACCATGGAATCGTCTCGGAGTTACCATAGTCAATGTAGACAACCTCGGCCTTCTTGTTCTCACGGTCGTTGCGTCGGATGCGCGCACGGTACCACTGGTCATCGGCAGTGAACTTGGCTGCTACGAAATCACCAGCCTTGGGAGCATCGGGCAGGCTGGAGCTGTTGGCGGGGTTGAGATGGAACTTTCCAAACGCATTCATGAGCGATGTAAGCGCTGATGTACCACTGCCGATCTGCTGCAACCGGAGCCTGCCATCGTCTTCGACGTGTGTGATCATGACATCGCGGTAGTCGGCCTTTTTTGAGGGTGCAGTGTCGCCGTTGGTAGCCTCGACAGCTGGCACATCCTCGCCTTCCTCTTCTTGAGAGGGATCGTAGTTCTCCCATAGGTTCTTGCGCGCGTCCTTGGCCTTTTGCTCCGCTGCGAAAAGCTCGTTTGCGTTGCCAGACTTCTCTGCTGAGTAGGCATGCACAGTAGCAAGACCCTCCTCAACCAGAGTCTTGGCAAAGTTCTCGCGGTTGATATAGAGAGTACCGATGAAGCCGCCGACCTTGTCGCAGTCCTCGACATCAATCTCAACATCACGCTGCTGGCACCGTCGGTTCGCAAACTCGTGAGCCTCCTTGCCGAAGGGTTCGCCCTTGTCGGTCTCATTTCTCGCTGATCGTGGTGCGCGGATACCGGAGAGGACGAGTGTGATCTTGGCGTTCTCGCGAGGGATCAAAACGGTGAAACGGGATCCAGACTTGACAAAGTCGACGATACCGGGCACCTTGCGTTGCCGTGAAAGCAGGGTGAGTTGACGCTTGGCCTTCTCGAGCGACTCTGAGTAGTCAACGTACTGCTTGACAGAGGGTCCCTTATCCGACCAGAGGCCCTTCTTCTCGTCTTGCGCAGTCTGCTCGGCGAGTAGGAGGTCATCGTAAATGGGGCTGCGGTCCGTGTCATCCTGTCGGTGGCGGATGACTGAAGCCATACCGTTCTCTACAAGCATCAGGCCAACGTTCTTGTTCTGGAAAGTGACGGTGCACATTTCCCGCTCGTCGTAGCCCTCGGTTCCTGGTCGCTTTCCGTCGACGTGGAACTTGACGTGCTTGCCGATCAGCTTCTTGCGCAAGAACTCCTTTGCTTCTGCCACCCATGGCGATTGTTTCGGGTCGGTGGGCTTTGGTTGACGGACACTGCTAAGGTTGATGCGCTTCTCTGTGCCTGCCTTGTTTCGCAGAAAGAGGGTATCAGCGCTCTGGATGCGGCTAACAATGGCTTCTTGCTCGCCAGCCCTGCTGATCTTTGGCGCAACGTGTTCTTTGTACACGCCCAACCGCGCATCCTTTGCCTGCTTCTCGGCGCCCCTGAGTATACCCATGCGCTGGCCGAGGAGAGTGGTGTGGTGGTCGGTGCACTTTGCTAGGCCGTTCTTGAGCAGGAACGGGGTTATGCTGCCCTGTGTGGGGTGCTTAACGTCTGCCACGAGCTGTCCGTTGGGTGTGGTGCCGAGTACGTTGGTAATGACACCACGCTGTAGCAGCCTTGTCTCGACGAACTGTTGTGCCTCATCGCCGAATGGCTCAGCCGGTTGTACCTTTCCATCCGAAGGATTCGTTCGCTGCGTCGCTGGTGCGCGGACGCCAGCCAGGAGAACCATGGTTTGTACATGCTCGGTGGATGAGAGCATAAGGCGTACGATGAGACGGTCACCAGATAGCACCTTTTCGACAATCGAGTCGATATCCTGGTCCTTGTGCTGCTCGACAAACTTCCGCGGGTCGCTCAGCTCGGAGGATGAGGCGATCCTGCCGCCTGTCTCAGCCCAAACACCCTTGGAATCTGCCCTGGCGCGAGCCTCATCCACCCGGAGCTTCTCAAGCAGATTCGCAGCTTCGTCCGAGTCCTCCTTGCGGCCAGCATCATCTCGCAGCTTCACCCAGCCCTCGGCGACGGCTTGTTGCGGCAGAATTTCCTTGTTCGGCGTAACGATGAGGCCATATTCGCGATTTGCTCCGGTGGCAATCTTGTAGAGAACCTGAAAGCGTACGACTTTGCCTACGAGAAGGCGGCGGAGATAGTCGCGTGATTCAAAGGCAAACGGCTCATCGCCCTCCCGTCGTAGCCGTGGCGCACTTACGAAAGCTAGGCTGAGTATGCGTTCGGCTTTTGGGTCCTTGATGTTATGGAGAACGACAGTATCGCCCGAAATCACGCTCTTGACCTTTGCTTCGAAGAGGTTGCTGCTCATGATGGGTGTCGAGTAGCTGCAGCGCGGAATGCAGTTAGCCACTGTTACCGTGTCCAGAGAGTGCGCAAACAACACGTAGGGCAATTATTTACCAATAGGAAATGCCAAAATCGTGATCGGTACCAAGACTAGAGGATGAAGAACGCAATTGATGTCGGAATCGTGTGCCAATTGCCAAAAAGTTGATTGTTGTAAAGCAACGTGTTGTTATGGCGGGCAAATCTCGTTGCTACCTGCTCAGGGACCTTCGTTGTGGGGTCGAGGACCCTAGGCGAAACTAATGTTAGACGTCACCGCCCGCACCTTGCCTTGTGCCTGTAGACCTTTCACTCTACGCCAATTTGTGACTTCTTTTCCAACAACTGCTCATCTCTTATTCAATGCAGCAATGCATCATGAAAGAAGTTGCCGGGTTAGTGCGGTTTGCATGGGTTATGTGCGGCAGCCCACCATCCCCGCCGCCTTCTCCTCTTCAGTTTGATATCGAATTCCAATACCTACACAGATATCTCTCCTGAGGACTCTAGGCCCCAACCAGGCCCCGAGCTGATTACTAATCAAGTATCGCGAAATTTTCGGGCACGATTGATACCGTCCTCAAGTACTTGAGCTACTATAAATACTTTCCAACTTGGTTAGAGCCCTTGAGAACCGACGCATCACTTATCTGAGCACGTAATTGCTCAATCATGGATCGCTCCCCGGCCATGGAAGATCAATCAGACAATAACCCGCATAAGCAATTCCTTCGTGGTGAGTTGTCTGAATGCAAACTTCGGAATTTGCAGTCAATCATCTAATAGCAACCCTTCAGGTTTGCAGTCAGATCTGTATATACCACACTAAAGAAGTTTTGACTCCCAGTATTCGTTACAGACCGACGTATGAAATATAACTATATAACGCCAGGGTCGCTACCATATTAATAATACCGAACCAATAGGTCCTGTATCCAACATGTACCTATATATCACAGCATCTTCGCATATAAAATAACCCGCATCGTCGTATAAACAGATCCCCGACTTTCGTTTCAAGATCCGACCAAGGACTTCAGAGATGTTTGGATGGCGTCGCTGCCATCATCGGGGACTTCACACATAAATCGTCTTCTGAAAACAAAATGTTGCCCTGTGAGCTCTACTCTCACAACCTCATCATCATCTATATACTACACTCTCCTTTCTCAAAATGACCTTCGTCATAGAGCTCTACTCTCCCAATATATGAAGTCACGCGTGACTACTTTATAACCGCGGCATGCGACGTCGTCAATTCTATTGTCAGAACACATGAACAAGTCCGTGTTCTCCGTGCAGTCGAAGTTCATCAGAATTGGGTAAGTAGCACAGTCTCCCTCATATCTCATCGACAGCAGTACCTCAATATTATCAACTTCATGCGTTGTAATCTTCCTCAACGTAGATAAGGCTGACATCACGTTCAGGTTAGGACATTTTTCACATGATGACTGAGCATGGACCATGTTTAGGCTCTTATGTAGATAGATCCTGCCTGGCATGTCACTCGGTAGACCTTCATGAATGATACCTTTTACTAGTGCTCCTGCATTGCAAAAATTTGATCGGAGAAGACATGTTATGGACGTCATGGGACTGTATGTGATACAGAATTAGTTATACGATTGAGGACATACTTATGTTTTGAATTTTATCGGTGGGGCTGGGATGCGTGTAGGTACGAAGAGATTCGTCATCTTGAAGTTGCTGAGAGTGCACGGATCTTCATTTCGGCAACCAAGGGCTTCTTCACGTCTTGCTCTGCCTCATGCCTTGCCTTGTCCAAGCTTTCATGACGTTGTTTAGGAAGTTATGTCTCGCTTGGTGATTTTGTTCTTCCAATCTTCCGTGTGCTTTGACCTTTGGGGAAAGCGGTCGTCCGATCTTGTGGCCGCGCTCGTCCCCATTTAGTTATACTTGGAAACTTGGAACCAGACTCCGAAACAACCACGACTCCTACTGCATTTCTCATGATCGGGATTAATTCCCGGCATGGACATGCAGGCTGTTATGATTTCCGAAACAATATCAACACCTCTCTGTACAATCAATCTGAACAGCAGAGCGGATGCGCAACTACAGCTGCATGAAAACAGCCAGCCACTTCAGCATACTGACCCAAAATAAAACTACATCATCCATCACTCGCTCTGTCAAGTCGCATGCGCAACGCTCAAACCAATAGCGCGGGGCGACCAGCACATCAGCTCATCATCCGAGGGGTGCCGCCATGTTAGCGCTGGCCAGAGCCCGAGCGGCGCGTGCCCGGACGGCCATGCGGCTCGTTGCTCGGCAACGCAAGTCGCGCGGTTGTGTTGATACAAGACCGGATAAGGGAATATACATCGTCATCTCCACCTCTGCATTTATCCTCCAGATTTTGCTACTCATCCCTCACATTCTACATCGTTTTCTCTATCTCAACTACCCGTTGCTGATCTAGTTACTCACACTAAACACCACTTTACCCACTTACAGACTCGTGCAAGCTTCGGCTACTTACTTACTACTCACTTGAGATAGGCTACTGGGAGACTGCAACTGTACTGAGGATTCCATAAGGATACCAGCCGCCCGGCGGAGCGCCGCTTGCCCTGCGTGAGGTACGTTGACAGCTTTATCTTGATAGCTCTATCTGGACAGCTCCATTTTTCACACCTTCACCGCTTCCATCTCGATAAAACACCATGACTAACGCTTCATCAGTTTCGGACCCATAGGAATTCCCCCCTCCTCGAGAACCGACTCCGGACTCGACCTGCATACGATATGCTGTCCACAAATATGCCAACCGGCATCCAGCGCCAACGAATTCAGCACAGACGACAACACTCAACACCCACTGTTTTCGATGCGCCTACAGTACGCCCATCACCTGCTAAAATACAACAACGACGACACAACAGAACTGGCATGAGCTTGGATTTACGTGGCCTCAACCTAGAATCCATCCATGCCAGCCAACAAGCCACGGATTATACCCAACGACCAGGACCATTCGACACACCCTTCCAGCAGGAGGACAGTACGGTAAGTAATACTAACAATCTAGGACAAATACCACAGCACTCTATGCAAGTAGCGCAGCCGCACAGACAGCCCCAGCCGGGCCCCCAGGACACCTTTTTGGCATCCCCAGTACAGCTCTCTCCCTCCACACCACGGAGTCCACGAAGGATAAACCGTGTGCAGTCTCCCCAGCAGCCTCCCTGTTCCCCCTCTAAACCTCCTACTGAACAGCAACTGAAAGAACTCCACGAGCACATACAGTCAGTGTATGGCTCATGTGGACAAGTCTTCATTAACATTCTCCCCACCCCCACTGCCACTCCCCAAAAGGCAGCACAGCTACCAAGTCATGAGTCATTCGTTGCGGCCCCCCAGTCGTCGGGCTTCACTGCTTTGAACGAAGTTAACCTTAAGCCCACCTCAAAGGCCATGACATTCGACTTTGAACACCCAGAGGTTGACATGGGTTACGAGTCCTCCTCCTACTACACATCCGACGCCTTGTCGCCATCACCAGCATCTTCGCCGCAAAGAGAGAATGTCCAAGGCTTCTTGGAGAACATCGAAGAGCACCAAGAAATGATGTTCTCGCAACAACAAAACATGTTGCCTCTCGCACAAGACTCCATGCACATCAATGGTCTACCACTTTCTCTAGACTCTTTTTCGCAACCTCAACTCTTCAATGATCTTGAGGTGGATGCGAGCTATGAGTACACCGGCATTGCGCCAGAGGAAGTTCAAAGATACATTAGCGAGCAAGATGCTACCACTGGCAAGTGGACCTGCCTCTACCAAGGTTGTAGCAAGGTCTTCGGACGCCGGGAAAACATCCGCTCCCACGTCCAAACACATCTTGGTGACCGCCAGTACAAGTGCAATGGATGCGGCAAGTGCTTTGTGCGACAGCACGACTTGAAGCGCCACGCAAAGATCCACTCCGGCAACAAGCCATACAAGTGCCCATGTGGCGCGGGCTTTGCACGACAAGACGCACTCACACGCCATCGCCAGCGCGGCATGTGTGTTGGTGGATTCCCCGATGCGGTCCGACGACAGGCCAAGCGTGGCCGCCCGAAGAAGAGCAGTCGCCCGGACCTTGAGGAGCGAGTCGAAAAGGCCAACAGGACGCGACGAGCACTCGTATCCGCACCTTCATCATCTGGCTCCTCCTTCTCAGACTCTCGTTCCTCCTCACCAGTAGAGGGATATGAGCCAGCTCAATCGGAAAGGACGCAGTTGCTTTCCGACTCGCAAAACTACAACGACTCCATAAACACATCATCAGATCCTTTCAGGTTAGTACATCGTCATCATCTCTCTATGTTTACATTGACTAACATCTCCCGCAGTTTTGAGACATCATCAAGCCCCTTTGCAGAGGATGCCGGTCTTGCACGTTCGAGCTTCCACTCCACTGCCTACACAAGCGACGCTGCATCCATGAACATCCTTCAACAGCTCTCCCAACACTCCCAAACACCCCCAATGTCCCCCGCCGACGTGCGACCACAATCTGCGGGCTCTTCCCGCAGTTCTGTCCACGAGTCAAGTGCGCCCGTCCAGTCTTCTAGTCCAGCCAAGGCAACAACATCGCCATCGCGGTCATCGGTTCAGTCAAATCAGTTCACAACACCACCCACCTCGCCCATCGACTCCAAGGATTCTCTCGACGAACTGTTCGAGACAATGCCTGAAAACTCGTACTCACAATTCGATCTTGAGATGAAGGCCATGAATGACTTTACTTCAATAGACACCACATCCTGCGACTTCTTGGATTTTAGCGTCTAAAACTGCCCGACAATAACCTTCGACTCGGCTGTACGATATATTTTTTGGGAGATGTTTACGAACGTAATAATGACCTGACGTTCACGTTCGCACTACAAAGTCTCTGGGAGAGAGAGATCCTTCAACGCATTGCATTTCCTTTGGGCCGGTGTTCTCAAGATCTGGATAACGATCTGCTACGAAAAACGCATATTTCGCTTCTTTTATTTTCTGGGTTATCGTAGGGTTGTTGTAACAAACGCCCAGGCTATATCATCATTATCGTTATCATTATTGTCATTGTTATCACGGGGCGTATAGGGTTAGGGGTGGTTTTCGGACGACCGACGGCTTGAATGTCTGAATGAGAGCGGGATTTCTGAAAAGGGCGGATGCGATGGCTTTCGCTATGATCAGATGAACGCCTCGCGTAAATGAGACAACGTTGACCGGCTTCGTATGAGGCTTTTACCCATGCTTACGTGTGCGCTTTGTTTGTGGATTGTGTGATGTTGATGGCGATGAGCGAGGTGAGGAAGACAGATTGCGCGAATCTCTATGGTGTTCGTTCAGTGCTGTTGGCATAGGGATATTATTATTATTATTATATTTCCATTAGAGTCCTGTATCAGTCGGTGACTATGTAGGACTTTGGCTAAGCCGTTCTATGTATGATGGTCATTGTGGAGTTTCTATGGGTCTTGTACAATTTGGGTGGTGTTTTGCGTACTCCAATTTCAGAGCTAGTCTTCCATTGGCGCGGGTGCTAAAGAGCAGTGTGGTGAATAGAAAGAGATGTAGCAGCGGGCTCTTTTAGATAAGGAAATATTGTTTTTGTAGTTTTATACAGTGTCTGTCTGTTCGGTGGTTTGCCTAAGGTGCCATTTTCTCGTGCCAATCCCAGTACTTGCAATAAAGGCTAGAGTAGCTTTGATGCCTGTCTTTGTTTAGAGGAGAAGTGGGAGAGTGATGGGTCTGTGTGGTATTGCTTCTTTGAGTGTATTTCGATGTGTTTTGTACTGTTTGCAATCTAGAAGTAGATACTGTAGTGTTTGTGGTTTGTAGCATATATATAGATTGTAGTCTCTCTTGTTGAATCTCTTAAGGTAGGAGTTGAAGTATCTATGTCCTAGCTTGAGTGAGTAGAACGCGCTCAAGATTTCTCTTAGTGTTCCCTTCGGGACTTTGATTGTTGTATGTGTGTTGAGCTTAAAGATCCTTAAGTAGGAGCTTCTGTTTTTAGTAGGCCTGTTGGTATACCTCTTGTACTCTATTAGTTGTTCTGTTTTTTGTATTTTGTTGATTTCTATGCCTAGGTAGGCTAGGCTCGCTATAGTCGATGTTGTTGGTCTCTCTTTAGCTGCTTCCTTTGCTAGCGTGTCGGCTTTTTTATTGCCCTTGACGTCGTTGTGTCCTGGGGCCCACTGCAGGTGGATAGATACTTTCTTTGTTGTTATTCTCTTTGCAGCTCTAATGCATCTTAGTAGCCACTGTTGTCCTAGGTTGTCCGATAGGTTGTTAAGCCTATAGATTGCTGCTTAGTTGTCTGCGTATACGTAGATCTCTTAGCCTTCTTGTGCCACTATAGCCGCGTGTTTAAATGCCTGTGCTATCCCCTCTAGTTCACCGTTGTAGACTAGTTAGGAGCATCTAATGTTTGTCTTTTAAGAAAATGTTTCTTCGTGGGTGGAGCTGTACGCTACTACACCTACGCCGATCCCTATTCCCTTGTCGTGTTGTGAGGCATCTGAGTAGATTGCGGTGAAGTTATCTCCGCTCCTTAATAGGATATAATCCGCGTGTGCAATTGCCTCTTCCTCTTTGCTCTTTTTTAATACAGTAACCTTGTAGTTAAGACTTTCCCACGGTCTAAACCTATATAGGATTATCTTTTCTACGCTGTTGTTGTCTCTCTCTGGGATTGACTTAACAATAGTATATAGTTGTCTATGCTGGTTTGGCTTTTTGTAGCTAGCTTTGTCTGTATTTGTGATCCTTGTAATTGCTTTCTGGATTGGGTGGTTGCTGGATAGCTAGTGTGCTCTAGACGCATACTTTCGGTTGTTGGTGTTGAGTCTAATTGCAGGTGACGTAAGTCCGGATTCAATGCTTGTTGGTAGAGATGGTGACGTTCTGAACACTCCAATTATCTTTCTACACGCTAGGTTGTGCAGTGATTGTAGGAGGCTAGTGGCGTAGCTTTGGTTCTTCCAATTGGCATAGGGATAGGTATTGCCGGTGATGATGTTGATGTCATTATAACCGTGTGCGTGCGGGCATGTTGTTGTGTCGCACCAGCTAATTGCCCTTTCACCCTAGCCTTCGCATCCCTCATATGGTTTCACATCCATAGACCGAAACCACTAGGTCCTACCAGCCATCCCAATTGCTTCCCGACGATATCGTTTCCCTACTATATCGATCGTACCTAACGATCAGCGCGACATGGTGCACGTGTCGGACAAAGCAATGCTGGTTTAGCTGCCGTTCAAAAACTGATGAGTTCGGCGCGATACAGGATGGGTGATGGAGATGTATCATATAAATTCAGAAACCATCAACTTCGTGTTATCATTATTAAAAGGCAGGCGTACATATGCCTGCATACCTGTGGTAATTACCAGCTTACCGATGTGCACAGCACAACAACTGCTCCTAGCATTCCAATCATGACCATGGAAAAAGACTCGCTCGACATTCTCACGGCTGCTCCTAATACTGCTCCATTACCATTTCCGCCCTGCCCAGGCGCGATTTCTCCTTGTCCATTGCCATTGCTATTGCCGTCGCCATTGCTATTACCAATGATATTGCCGTTGCCGCCACCCGCGCCATTCTCACCAACTTGACCACCATCCTTCCTCGGGCTTGTCTCCAACTTGATATCCTGCATCGGCTGTCCTGGTGGATTATTCACACTGTTGACTTGCGTGTTAAAATCCACCATGGGATTTTGCAGCAAATTACATGACATGCGCCCTCCGTTTGCGCTCAGTGGGCCGGGTGCGGGTTTCGTTGTCAGCTGGCCTGCACCGGGGAATTGCGAGATGCTGTTCGTGACTGAGATGGGTAGGTTGAAAATTGTATATCTGTCCACACCGTTCAGGCGGTAGTTCTGGTGGATACTGATGTTGTAGTCTCCTCTCGCTGTTGCGCCATCTTCGTCGTTGTTGTTGCCAACCAGACAGTCTGGCCACTCAAAGTTGATGTGCTTGACCGTCTGGCCGCTTTCCTGGTTCATTATATTCGCGAATGGCGGCGTAGATGTCGTTACATTCGATATCGTGAAGTTCTTCTGCATGATTGTAGACGTGAGGAAAAGCGTAAAGTTGTAGACTTGGGTGAGCGGGTCGGCGGTGTTGCGCGGGGGAACAGGAAGTTTGCCGTCTCCGGAGACGTCAAGCGCTATGTGTAAGAAGTCACCACCTTCAGGTGTAAAGGGCTGGGGCTTGTATTCTTGTCAGTTTGGGTCTGAGATTGCGCGACGGTTGACCTACTGCTAAGATTATCCCTAGCCCTGGTGTGAAGATGCGCCCATTAACGATGTTGAAAGCGCTGGTATCTGGCTTGTTATTTTGGCGCTGCTGAAGCGCTCCATGTGTCGAGGACCAGGTTCCCAGCATCTGCGCCTCCACGATAGACTGTATTAGACATGACACGAACAATGGAAATGCAGTAAAAATGGAAAATGAAATCATTGTTCGAGGGCGCTTTGCATGCTGACCAGCAGTAACAACAGAAGGAAACAAGAACAAATGCAGAGAGAGGGGTTGCTGGAGTAGTAGAAGGTAGTTAGCAGGAAATCAAAGGAGCCACGATAGGTGCGCATGATGCGGGATGCGGTTTGCGATAGCCGGGAAACTCCATCGCGTGGCCAAAAGCCTTGTGCATGAGACCTGATCCAGGCAAGGACAGGCTACTCATGCAGGATTGGATGTATGAGCCTTATGGGCGTTGAGTATAGCCTCGAAATCGATAACTCGAGACGCGTCGTGTCTGGAGCGAACGGTTCGGTCAAGGTTCAGCCGGGCGGGCGAGAGTCCGTGCGTTTCTTACTCAGTCGATCGGTGGCTTTCGTCATCTCCACCCTTCTTCTTGAACCACCCATCTAGACAACCACGTCGAATTTCCGAAGATCCGGATAGATGAACTACCATCATAAATTTTCCGATATCGAACAACGCGGTCAGCACGTTTGACATCGTAAGCCATGAGGTGCTCATCTCCGTCGCTGCTGCGAAATTAAGTCCGTCTCGTACTTGTATGACGCAGGAGCTCAATTTTACATCATCATGTCATGTAGTACTTTCTCCACTCTGCCGGTCTGGCATTGAAGTTGGGTGTGAGACTCAACTCAGGGCACTTTAGGTATCAACGGCACATTTTGCACAATGTCAGAATGTACGAGCTCATGATCCCAGGTACACAATGGCGATGATTCGCGTTGTGAGCACGACTCCTCTTAGACTGTGTCCTATGATGTTCGCAGGATAGAACCATACGAACACTGTTTTCAGGGAGAAGTAGCATTGTCAGAACACACCAACCTATTGTGAAGTAGTGATCCCACAACGCTGAGATCAGACTCTAGATAAAAAGGCTTCTATTTCATCACCAATGAGCAAATCATCTACCACATCACCACTTTCCTTACACAGTACCTTTCTTCTTCCCGGTGAAGAGCAAAAGTACACTCAGCACACTTCGCATCAACCGCTAGTTTTCAACTCCGTTCCCATTTTCACAATGTCTAACCCCTTTGGTTCCGACTTTGACGAGGTGGAACATCAACGAGAAATGATTCGCAAGATGAATATGCGCAAGCTTTTGCAGCCCAAGGCCACAGCGACGGAGCAAGAGCCACACAAGAAGCAGGTGACGGTTACACCTCCCGCGACATTCCAGTCCTGGGTGTTTGGGATCATGAACGGTGGCCAGGACAGCTGGCTCATGCGTTACATGGAATCCGAGTTTTACGAGCTGGCTCGCAAGGCAATCAAGGATCGCACTGGGGGTGACATCCACATGGTCATGATGGGCTGTGCAGCTCTCAATGCTGCACGTGTCAAGATCCCAGCCATGCTTTCCGTCGCCTTGACTCAGGTCAAGTCGCAAGTGACCAGCTCCATCGCCATTAGCGCCTATGACTCTCCTCTCATCAAGGAACTCTTCCAGATTGCTCGCGAGAAGTCTGAGGAATTCCAGTCCTTGAAGCTTCGATTGTCCGGAGAACACCATCTCCGCAAGGTTTCTGGCGAGCTTGTGCCAATTTCTGGCAATTCTTCTGGGGCCTTCTGGCACAACGGTACCTACTTCACTCTTGAACTTCAAGGTAAGTCTGGTGAAGCTGACGAGATTGCGATTGCTACCACTCTAGATCCTACATCCAAGCTGGTTGTTGGCTGCTTTGGTCATAGCAGCGACCCCATTCAGGCGTTAATCGAGCATGCTAAGACACGTGTCACACAAACCGGCAATCTGCATGTGATGGAGATCATACCTAATCCTGGAAAGGAGATTGCTGACAATAGGCTTGTGCAGCGCAAGAAGCGTCCTATGTCTACGGTCGATCTTGATCCACAGATGATGCAAGATATCTTGAAGGACGTTGAGCTTTTTTTCCACAAGGAGTCGCAGATTTGGTACGAGCACACTGGACGCCCGTGGCGACACGGTTACCTTCTACATGGCCCACCCGGTACCGGTAAGTCAAGCCTGATTACTGCTATCGCTTCGCACATGAACGTTTTCCTGTGTGTGATCAACCTTCAGGGGATGGATGACGAAGATCTGAAGCAGTGTTTCGATCGGGTCCCTCCTCGTAGCGTTGTTGCTATTGAGGATATCGATTGTGTCGGCGCTGACATTGGCAACCGTGGTGCGCAACCTGCATCCAGCACTGTTCCGGCATCGTCTGTGGACGGCGTTGGCGCTCAACAGTCACAGGCGGGTTCACTCGATGGTGTTTTGGCAGCTTTCATGGAGAAGCAGCAGGTTATGAACCAACAAATTCTCAAGCAGGTCAACGACTTGAAGACTACTCCTCGCTAGATATACTCGAATAACGAGGATGATGAGGATCAACCTTTTCGCGCGTTTTCCGAGAAACCGCGCAAGCCCTCAGGCGACAAAGTTGAGTCGGGAAACAAGTCAGTGACGCTGAGCGGACTTCTCAACGTACTTGACGGTGTCAATGCTTCCGAGGGTCGCCTGGTCATCATGACCACCAACCATCCTGAGAAGCTTGATCCAGCTCTCTACCGTGCCGGTCGTGTGGAACGCAAGTTCGAGATATCCTACGCCAGCAAGGACAGCTGCATTCTAACCTTCAAGCGTCTGTTTGGCAACGATGTTTGCAAGCGCTACACCTCCGAAGCCATCGATCGTTTCGCCCAGGCTTTCCAAGCCCAGTTTCCTTCCAAGTCCCGCATCACCACAGCTGAGCTCACCAAGTACTGTGGCCAATATCGCGGTAGGCCCGACGTTGCTGTCGAGGAGTTTGCTGACTGGGTGAAGCGCGGTGCTGACAAGTTTGTCATTCCTAGGGACTACGCCAAGGCGGTCGATGAGGAGGGTGTTAACATCCCGGAGCCCTTTGATTCCGATCTTCTCCTTGTTCGCACGTCTGACCTTGTTGATCCGAACGTGGGTGCCACATCCGACATGGAGGTGGTGACTGAGGTTCAGCCGACAGCCCCAGCTTCCCGGGGTTTCTTCTCGGCCATCGCCAACGTGTTTCAGGATTCTGGTGAGTACACTGACCTTGCATCCATCCAGGGCGCACTTGTCAATGTTGACTCAGATGCCAGCCTCTCCGAGATTCCTCACGGCCATCTCATCGAGACAATCCCCGAGTGTGAATTGGCGCTAATGTCGCCCCGTCCTTTGCCTGATGACGACGACGAGTTTCTTTACATTGTCTAGGAGCGCTGTGATTCCGTCACTGACGCTTGACACTTTGATATCGCGACGTCCGAGTAGTAGTTGACTGTTTAGCGCACTGTTTCTCGCTTGACACTTTTGATTTCGCGATGTCCGAGTTGTATTTTATCGTTTAGCGCACTCTTTCTAGCGTCGCCAAGAAGGTAGGGTATTTATCCCAGCCTCAATGGCGAGTCCCTTTCATGAATAGTTAAAATTACAATGTCTTTTTGCAACAAACTAAAATTTCCCAAAACAAAATGACTGACGTAACCCGGTACCCAATGAAACAAGCATACGCGCAATACTCAACGGGTTAAAATGCCACGGGTAACTATATGGCAATCTATACTATAACAAATCCCCGCTACCACGCGCGGGATCTTCCCTCTAACAACAGCGAAGCTAGTACACCGCATCGCTCGCCCATGGCCATGATTTTCCGACGTATCTTTGTTTCAGGGGACAACCCGCTCGCGCCTTTCTCAAGCGCGATGATCTGCACAAGAGGACACTTCATGAGGAAGGCAGGTGTGAAACATGGTAACATGATCCATGGGCGAGCGGCGCACACGGGCGAGCGGCGCACCCCACCAACTTTACTCACCTTACTGATCTTAATCTACAATGGCTCAACGCAGCGCTACTCAATTACTATCAAATGAAGCAGATATTCAGCTTGCTATCTCATCTATTAATGCGCACCAGATCCAAGGTACCCGTACTGCTGCAGTAGTCTACAACGTAGCCGAAACAACGCTCCGCCGCCGACGCGCTGGTATACCTGCCCGACGCGATTGCCCGCCCAACTCAAGGAAGCTTACCCAGAGAGAAGAGGAGGTGATTATTAGCTATATACTTCAGCTAGATCTGCGTGGATTTGCGCCTACCTACACAGCTGTACGTGATATGGCTGATAAGCTGCTGGCTGCGCGTGGTGGAGAGCAGGTTGGAGTCAACTGGCCATCTACCTTTGTTAAGCGTACAGACAGTCTTCGGACGTGTTTCAACCAAGCGTACGATAGGCAGAGAGCTCTTTGTGAGGATGCAACATTAATAAAGAGGTGGTTTAAGCTTGTAGAAGAGACAAAGGCTGAGCTAGGTATCTGCGATGAGGACGTCTACAACTTTGATGAAGCTGGCTTTATGATGGGCAAGATTACAACGCAGCTAGTTATAACAGGAGCAGAGAGGAGAGGCAGGCCGAAGAGTATTCAGCCAGGCAATCGCGAGTGGGTAACGCTGATCGCTGCTATCAGCGCTGCTGGCTGGTCAGTCCCACCGTTCCTCATCTTCGCTGGCCAGTACCACCTATCAGCCTGGTATAAGGAAGCTGAGATCCCACGCGACTGGGCGATCGCAGTCAGCGATAATGGCTGGACGAATAATGAGCTTGGAGTTGAGTGGCTAAAGCACTTCAACGCTCACACGCAGGCTCGTAGTGTAGGCGCGCGTCGCCTGCTTATTATTGATGGCCATAAGAGCCACCAATCTCTAGAGTTCCAGGAGCTCTGCAAGGAGAACAATATCCATACGCTCTGTATGCCTCCTCACTCATCTCACCTACTCCAGCCACTTGATGTTGGCTGCTTCTCGCCATTGAAGCGCGCGTACAGCCGTGAGGTGGAGAGCCTTATGCGCAACCACATCAACCACATCACCAAGCTAGAGTTTCTGCCAGCGTTCAAGGCAGCATTTGATCAAGCGTTCACGCCAGCCAATATCTGCTCAGCCTTCCGCGGCGCAGGCCTTGTTCCTCTACAACCAGAGGCTGTTCTATCAAAGGTAGATGTACAACTGCGTACACCTACTCCTCCAGCAGCTCTGCCAGAGGCTCCCTGGGTAGCTCAAACGCCGAGCAACGCGCGTGAGCTTGAGGCTCAGTCAAGCCTAATACGTGAGCGCGTGCGCCAGCACAAGAGCTCATCACCAGCTTCAATTATTATGGCGATTGACCAGCTAAAGAAGGGCGCCGAGGTGATGATGCTCTCTGCTGAGCTGATGCGCGATCGGATCTCTAGTCTTGAGAAGGCCAATAGCGCAGCCTCAGAGCGTAGGCGGCGCTCTAAAAGGCGTATACAGAAGCATGGAGTACTCACAAAGGGAGCTGGAGAGGATATACTGGCTCAAAATGAGGCTGACCAGCAGATTGCTCATGAAGAGCGTCAAGGAGGAGCGCGATCAGGCCTCAGCCAGCGGGCTCAAAGGCGCTGCACTAGGTGCAAGGAGACTGGGCACAACTCGCGCACATGCAAGACTGATACTATTAATATAGAGTAATCTACTGTATCAATATCTAGCAATAATATTATCGCGTTGTTGAGATGCATCGCTTTAAAGTTGCAAAAGTTGGTGGGGTGCGCCGCTCGCCCGTGTGCGCCGCTCGCCCATGGATCATGTTACGCTAGCATCTTTTTTTAAAGCTGTCTACTCGGCACATGTCTTGTTTCCAAGCCTCTAGCGGTGGCCAAAGGGGCGCAGTCAACCTCAGCCGGGAACATGGCACCGACAAGACATGTTTTGATGAGTTGGTCAGGAGGCGTGCGGGTGAGAAAGGGGGAGTTGGGTGATTGTTGTGGAGGATTTGGGGAGCGGAAAGTTGGGGTCGCTGATGCGAGGGTATCATGATACTGAGTGCGCACCTTTCGGCAGCTCAGCAAACTTTCATGCAGTGCACGGTGAGTTGGACAAGGTGATGGGATAATAGTCCTAATAGGGTTGAATATTGATAGAAACAAATGAGACATGTGGTATGGGTTCGTTACAAGAAAATATTAATACAAGGAAATCCTAACATCATTGCCATGCTGGCTCATGTCGTTGTTCGTTATGGTGGTGACTGTCAAACCTCCCATACCGGTGATCTGACAATTCTGACGCCTCACTTTGCCCCTCGGGGTCGCGAGGTGAATGATTCAATATCTCCTCACCACTTTCTGCCAGGCTCGTCTTGCTGGCATGGCGACTGTGGCTTTGAACCGTGAATTCAGTTGTCTTGACGACTGTTGATGGGAGCGCGTCAATGTGTGACTTGCCTCCAGTGACGTGGACCTGCCATTGGTCTGGTTCGCCCTGTACCGTAGACCTCTGAAGACCTTTGCCCTTGTACGTTCCTAGCGCAACACCTCCGGTCCGGTCTCCGTGGCTGTAGTAGCTGGCATTGTGACTTCTCGCGTTCCTGGTCAGCTTTACGAGGCGGTTGAGTATGCTGAATTCGAGCTTGAGCTTGACGCTGTAGACAAGGGGCTTCCACGACGTCTGGATTTCGAAGAGATCGGCGAATTCGAGGCCTAGGATACTGAAGTCGAGTAGAATGACAAGGAAGTTTACGAAGATGAGATGTTGGAGTAAGCTTTGCGTACCCATGTTGCCGATGGTCCGTTCCAATCGAAGAAGTTTTACGGTCTCGTATACGTATAGACCCGAGATCACGAGTTCCTGGGCGATGAAGACGCTTAGCTGGATTCTCTCGTAGATTTTGTATGGCTGGACGAATGGTTCGGGGTTGGCCGAGTTGTTTCCGTAGACGATGACGATGACTGGAATGTGTAGCCAGATGGCGTTGACGATAATCATAATCAACACCGCCCGCAACTTCTTAAGATTGTGCATGACAATATGAAGACGAGAGTATAGCACCACTGATTGCCCTGTAATCATGGTGCACCATCCTATGAGGATAAGTGTGGCGTATAGGTTCTTTTGCGGTATATTGGCCAGGTGCATCAGCGCATAGCCGGCCGAGTTGAAGGCAATCCCCCATGTTGCAACAGTAAAACTCCAGAAGTAGAGGCCGCTCCGTCGGCGGAAGAGTGTGAGAATGTATACATTAAGCTCGAGAAAGTTGTAAAATGCTATGCTGAGAAAAACTAGCGCGATGGCTTTTGGTGCGGTGTTGATGGCCATGATAGGCAAAAGTGGCGTTGGAAAAAGCAGTCTGCCAGACACATGGAAAGAGAAGTAGATCGTGGGACGAGCTCCACTGTACTTGAAGAGCACACACGGCGCGCCCCCGGCATAGCCGTGAATGAACTCTCGCGAAGCCCGTGTTCCCTACATTTCTAGCCGTCTCTGCAGGGGCAAGTTATTCGACAGACAATCCCCTGCACATATGCGACTTGGGGCACGGCCGTAAGCTGCGGCGTGACAGCGGTTTATTACAACAACTGTACGGGGTTAGGAACCACGGCTAGTATGGGCTGTCTAACTCGGTAACACATCAGGTTCGCTTGATTAAGTGTCCTATTCGTTAGGGCCCGGAAGTGATCAGTCCCACGCTATCTTAGGGGCTGGGCAGGTATCGGCCCGTTCTGTTGGAACTCATCATCACAGCGGGGATGAGCCCATTCGCTCCCGTGATCGTGTCGGGGTTGTACGGCCTGTACGGTTACTGTTACGGGAATATCCCCGTCGGTAGTTTGGCCCTGGGGTTGAAGCTCTAGACATCCTCGTGTCGTACGACTTGGGCTGCACAGTCCTCGGGGAATGCTGAAAAACACGGCTCGTGGTGATGGGATAAGTTTGGCATGCCGTAGTATTGGTATTTGCACCCCAGAACTGCGGGCTGGATCAATGTCACGACATGGTTCTGCGCTTCGGCCATTACGAGTGAAAAGGCAGGCGAGTGGTGCGATTGAACGAGGACCTAGGAAGACCATGCTTGTGAGTCTCATGCAGTGCCTATTCGGGTCAAACGGTCTTCTATGCGAGATGTTTTCCAGAATACTGGTCATGGATCTCGCTCTAACACGATATCTCTCTAAGCGATGCAGTTTCTAGTACACCGGTGTACGATAGATGCGGGTTGGGAAAATCTAGTCCTTCATAGACTCGCCAAGGCCCGTAGTATCTCGGACGGCTGTTCTAGGTTGGAAGGAACGGCCACGGCTTCCAATACTTATTTTTGGGGCATCCGAGGTTGACCTAGAAGATGCAGAATGCGTCAGAATGAAGTTCGTAGGTGCTGCGGACAGCAAGGCTCGAGGGAAGTGCGTCACCGCACACGGATCGAATTCCAACAGCTCAAATGCTAGAAGCAGGTACATTGTCGATTTGTTTGGGGGCGGGACGCACGAGGTGCCGTGTGGACGCAAACGAGGGACTGCGGAGTCTAGAGGGTCATGCTCTGGGGAGGTCGCACCGACTCCATCGACAACGGCCCTTTTCTGGGTCCGGCGCGAACCTCATCTGGTTTAGCCCCGTGTTCTATACCAGACTTCGCCTTAGGCGAGCAGCGTTTGGGAAGTATACCAAGAGACTACTGCAAGGGTTCCGCCGCGGCAATTTGAAAATGTATATGAGGGCAGAGGGTCTACAATGAAGTTTATCCGACCAGGCTCCAGCTTGAAAACTGCAGCGTTCCCTCTTTCCCGTACTGATTGGACGTTTCAAGCCCTGGTTTCACCTCGCCAGTCGTTGCATCATGCCATCCTCCACCACGCTCCTTGCTGTCAGCGCGGCAGTTGCACAAGCGTGGGCCCAAAAGCTACCTGCAGCAGCCCAGGTTGTGAATCAGAAGTCCTTCAATGTTTTGGATAATGTTCCACCACCCACGGTCCAAAACGCTTCCAACGTATGTAGCTCACCCAATTATGGTCATGGTACAAAGCTCTGAAACGATCACAGTTGTTCTACTGGCCCGGCGTGACTGAAGAGTCCCTCCAAGCGAAACCCTTCCTTGTCTTTGACGACGAGTTCTACGATGTCATTGGACCCAACCCTTCTCTGACTACCATTGCGAGCTCCGACTCCGACCCCCTCTTCCACGAGGCAGTCACCTGGTACCCTCGCACTGACGAAGTCTTCTTCGTTCAGAACGCTGGACCCCCCGCAGCTGGCACCGGTCTGAAGAAGTCCTCTATCATCCAAAAGATCCTTCTTTCCGATGCGGAGAAAGTCCGCAATGGAAGCCTCAAGGCTGCACCCGTGACTGTAGTCCCTACACAGAACCCGCAGATCATCAACCCCAACGGTGCTACCAACTACAAGGGTAACCTCATCTTCGCTGGTGAGGGCCAGGGTGACAATGTGCCATCGGCGCTATATGTCATGAACCCGTTGCCTCCTTACAACACTACCAGTAAGTCTTCACCAATTGAATGGATATCACATAGAATGCATGCTAACCTAACATAGCTCTCTTGAACAACTACTTTGGTCGTCAATTCAACTCACTCAATGATCTTACTGTTCATCCCAAGAATGGTGATCTCTACTTCACCGACACTCTCTACGGCTACCTCCAGGACTTCCGTCCTTACCCCGGCATTCGGGAGCAAGTCTACCGTTACAACTTCAACTCTGGTGCCATTACCGTCGTCGCTGATGGCTTCCGTCACCCTAACGGTTAGCAACTCGCCTCTCCAACTGCTGAACTCTACTAACGCACGCTAGGTATCGCCTTTTCGCCCGACGGCAAGAAGGCCTACATTTCCGACACTGGTATCGGCAATGGCTTCTTCGGCTTCAACCTCACTGACCCAGCATCCCTTTACTCTTTTGATGTGTGCGCACAGGGTACCTGGTCTAACCGCAAGACGTTTGCTTTCGTCCCGACCGGCATTCCTGATGGCGTCAAGGTCGACTCAAAAGGTCGCGTTTACACCGGTGCCGGCGATGGTGTTTGGGTGTACAACGCTGATGCCAAGCTTATTGGCAAGATCTACACTGGCAAGACCGCTGCAAACTTCCAGCTTACTGGAAACGGCCGTATGATCATCACTGGTCAGACCAAGCTGTACTATGCCACTCTAGCTGCAACCAACCAGGCTTTGCAGTGATGCGATAGATGATGTAGCGTCGGAATTTCCTTGACCAACAATAGAAGATATGCTTTACTATACACTTCATAGACTTCAAGCAGTATACTGCTGATACTTAATCTAAACTCTAATCAGCCTTTTACCTTCCTACTGCTGCCTTCGCTCTATTGTGCCCGCCGCCAAATTCCCAGGCAAAAGCTAGTAACATTCCGCTTCCAAAAATACCCCTCTCGGCATCATGTCGAGGTGTCCATTTCTTGAATATGCATCTCGCACCACATGTAGTTCAAACTGAGGTAACTAGTGGTTACGTCATGAGCTTACCCGCAGAACTAAGGCGGCTGCCCACGAGGCACAGAAGAGCATTTTGGTTCCTTAGTGGTATACATGCAGCTCACCCTAGCATCCTTGCTCGGATCAGGGTCGATCAATCGCAGCGAGCCTTCCTCGGCGCTTGTCGTGGCCTGTACCCGGACTGCGACGATCTCTCCCTCATGCACACCGACGATCGCACAAGACACATGGTGACGAGGTACATAGCCCGGTTACAGAGTCAGGAGCCAAGATGCATCGCGATGGAACGGTGCGCTTATCTCGCGTCTTGTCCTCTTGGTGCTGATGACTATAAAGGTCACCACACCACGGTGTTATTTGCGAGGATTTGGGAACCCTCACACACGAATGAGACGGCCGGAAGCCCCCGGAAGCCCCGGGAAAAGCCATGTGAGGAACAATCTGTCTCTGCAGTTTCTCTCCAGCATCTCCAATCGCAGAACGTCGCAGATTCCGGGGGCGTTCTATGAGCGGAATAAAGTGGGTGGTATGGGGAGGGAGGGGAGAAAGCAAAATGTTTGGCTTCCCGGAGCTTCCCGCATGCCCCAAAATCTGTTTGTCTTTCCACGGAACAATTCATCGCCGGTTCTAATGCGCTAGTACCATTACATTCATCATTTCCGCACTCAACCATGTATGCTCAGTCGCGCGGTGCGTTGATGCAAGAGACGGCAGAAGCCAGCTTCGAGCTAAACGCGTTGTGTTGACAATCTGACCGTTCAGGTCTAGTGCCCTGCACGCGTACGACCACAACGCTAGACCATACCAAGGCATAGTAGGCTTCTTCTCGGCATCCGCCCGTATCCCCACACACGCACCACCCTCAGATTTGAAATCTCTCAACCACGATGCGTATTCATTAGCGCTCACGCCTGTCATAACTGGTACTATGGCTGAAACTCATACACATCGAGGTTAGAAATGCCATTATGCCTAATGTCCACGTACTACTGCCGCTGTCCCTTTTGGAGTAATCCCAGCGAAAGCAAGATCCTAAGGCCGTACCAACAATGTAGGTACCTGGTACTTCCCCACAACAAATTTTGACGTTCTCCCCACCTGTCACCTTTATTCCACCATTGAGATAGACGAAATGAGGTACAAGGATTAGCCCTATCGCATCCAACATCTAACCTCGGAATTCCAAAAGTCAGGCTGACATAGATCGTCGGGTTCGGAGATTCCGGATCTTGGGGTGTGAAATTAGAGATCCAGCCAGCACAAATCGCGTTAATAAAGCGACGATCCGATTCCACTTCAAGGTCGTAGGTAAGCCCTATCGAAAAGGGTTTACATACGGCCTGGCTAGAGATGTCACTGTTATGAACGTGTCCGAGTCGATCGCTCTCTCTTCTTGTACAGCTTTGCTCGGGGAGATGTCTCAACAAGTTGGACATCTGTATCCTGAACGCCTAGCTACAACTCACCCGAAATCATGGCACCCAACGATACGAAAAGGCTAGCTTCAACTCCTCCTTCGAGATCGCTCGTTTGCACCCTTTTGAGTGCGTTTTCCGTTGCGAAGTGTGTTGATTCCGAGAAACTACACTGTCAATTTCCACTTCATCCAGTGAACGGGCCGCACTTTGAGCTTGAACGCGTACTGTCTACATATCACAACGAGACTTGGATCTATCAAGACAGAAGTAAAAGAGTGGTCTCAGGCACGGAGACCTGTACAACAAAGTGCCATATCAGCATCTAGTCCCTCCGGTAAACGAACCACATTACCGGAAACGATACGCTCTCTCCACAACACAAGTAGAAACGGACTTATTCCTTCCAGGTACAAAGTAGACAAGCAGTCTTTCTCATACAAACTCACACTACCATGATATCTAGTATTTGGCGAACAACCAAAATTCCACATCTACACAGTTTTACAATCAGATTTCTCTCATAAATTGATCGTTTTAGAGCGAGGATCGCGGGGCTAAGGCCTCTACATTACCCGTACCATTCGTGCTAATTCTACGAGCCCGCCCTACCAAACGCTCAATCACATCGTTTACGCTATCCTCCCCATTGTCCTTTTCGTAGCCACTCGAATTTGAATGAACCCTGACTCGTCCCCCTACCGAAGTTAGCACAGAGCCTCTATCTATCGGCGATCTTCTATCCTTGAACGTACAACTTGTGCACCGCAGCTCTCTCTCGCACCGAACGCATTGTCAAGTCACGTTGAATATATTTGTATACTAATGGATCTGCCCAAGATGCGAGTAAAAGGTGTCGCAAACGTGATGATAGGATTATAGTGACAGAGCGTTTTCTCAACGACGGCATGGTAAACTTTTCGGAAGGAGAAAGGGATAGGATCATGTCGCAGCACTCGCGCCAAAAGATGACTGGAAGGATATCGTGAAATCGACAAGTATGTAGGCCGGAGAAATACCGTAGCAGAGAATTGGTGTGACTAGTACGCGGGTTTCATATCGAACGTGTCTCGAATAAGAGCAGGAGCGGTGACGATGTCACTCAAGGGAATGAATGTAACATAGCGGACGCGGTTGAAGCATTTTTGCGATACGAGTAACAGGCTTTTAGTAGGCTGGGAAGTAGATAGTATAGTCAAAATATATTTTCTTATTTACCAACTTTGCAACATGACTTGTACAACCTACAGATTTAATCATGTAAACATGGCTTTTTGCTTCTACCTCTCTACCCCCAATATCACTCAAAGGCTTTGTAGACTGCGCCTGCCCACTCGCTGGTTCTTTACCTTTTTCTTTCTTTTTTTACCTTTCCTCCCGCTTTTCTTGTTACCGCTCTACATCTTTCTACTACACACACATATATACAAATCCCATCAACTATCAACTCCCGCTTATCAACCCTCGTCAACTCCATAGTCAATTCCCTAGTCAGTCAACACCGCCGCAGAGAATCAAAAGGTCAAGAACACCTAGATCCTAAATCCTCACTTCCCCTCCACACTGCCACCCCTCTCGCAGCTCTCTCGCTCACACGCTTTACCCTCAATCCATCGTCGATCTATGCTCACCTCCTCCACAGCTAATCCGAGCTAGCGTATACATACACACAAATGTTAACAACGTTTCTCCACACTTTCCCTTCTTTCGATACTTCAACCACTAGAAAATGAAAACGGGAAGAGAAGAGAGACGACATCAAAACGAAACTCCAGGTGAGAAGGAGGAGTGAGGAGGGGTATAAACGCAGTAAAGAATAATCAAGGGTGTTCATCTGCTTATCCATGACAAGAGTAGTATAGAAGAGTAAGGAAGTGATATGAATTTCGATGTCGGTGTGAGAGCATGAATGGGGTGGTTTAGACATAGGGATGTGGCCTTGGTCTAGCTATTTGCTTTTTTATCGATAACTGACTGAGTGTCGTTGAGGATTAGATTGATGATATTCCATGTCAAGTTGGGGGGTAATTCTACCTGATCATAGTCATGTATTTTTTCTAATTTCAGTAGTATCATGGTAATAGCGCAACGTAGCTGTCAACACAACTAATGTGAGTATCAATCACAGTATTTCTTCTGACTCGAAAATGTTTATTGTCCAACGACAGGACTCTTTTTATGCTCCACAGGACAGTGATAAAACCTCTCGAGTTATCGCTGTTCATAATACTATCACACAGCAACGCAGTCACAGTCAAATTGAAGGCAAATTTGTTGGTCATGAAAATCGTGAGTGATATTGCTCTTCAACATACCCCCCTCGATATCCACCACCGTCACCACCACCCATCCATCCACCAGCAGCCAACGCCGTTATCCCCAGGCCCGTTCAATCATCCACCAGCATCTGATCAACTCCACCAGTGAAGCCCATGCCATTTCATTCCACAGATACACAAACAAAGGGAAGAAGGATCAAAACACACAAAACAGAAGAGACTGAGAGAGAAAACGCCAATCCCCATTCGCGCTATTTTCCAGCTGCGAAGGTATCCTCGTTGGGGGATGCAATATGCAACGCACAAAACTCCATGATTGTTTCCCCAGCAAGAAAATAAAGGCACGCCAGAGCCCACAAGGGCGGAAACAAATCCTCCCTTTTGGAGCCAGCGGCAGTAGCAGTAGCGCCACCCTCAAATAAAAAGGAAAGAAAACAAATCGGCCGTTACGTTAAAGGGTTCAGAAGCTCGTAATACAGTGGTAGTGAAAAGAAGACACAAAGCGAATCTTCGAATCGGAAAAAAGTCGTAAAAGGCAAACAAGTAGTTGCGTTCCCTTTTTTTCCGGTCTCAGAACGCCAAAGTTGTTGTTATACAGGGGGTTGGTCGAGGGACAACTGTATCGCAAGACATTTGGGAAAATGGCCGCAGATCCACGTCGTAGCCAAGGTGTCGCCAGATGATCAGGCAAGGCGAGGCCGGGTCCCAAGAGCATTTTTTTAGTGTCGACAAGAGATGTGGTTGGTGTGTAGGAAATACATGAGTGGTTTAATGCAGAAGCTCAGCTCATGTCCATCATGTCCTCGTCGCAGGCGTATGTCGCGAGGATTTCGTCGCTGGGTCCGAAGTTGCCCTCATAGACGGTGGCACCAGATCGGCGCCTTGCATCGACCCATCGACATCCGTAGCAGGCAAGAACATCGTCTGCAGTAGGGCGCATGTCGGGATCACGATGCAGCATCGCATACACGACCTCGTCCATGCAGTTCGGATCATTGCGGTGAATCATGAACGATGGTGCTCGCGCAAGCTCTTCCTCGGGAGAGGAAGGCTTGACCATGATTGCCGTCATCGGGTCCTCATCGGCATCAGACATGAGGAAACCATCCATCGATTGTCTGGCGTTCTCGGGAACTGGGTCGCCGTTGAGGTCGCGGCTGAGAGTGCTCTCGGCGCTCCATGTCAGGCTTGGGAGAACAGTCGCAAACTCGCCAGATCGCAGCTTCTGCCAGTAGTCACCGTTTTCGGGGATGACACAGTTGCCGGCGATCTCAGCCAACATCATGCCGAGAGCGAAGATGTCAGCAGGCTTGTCGAAGCGGCCAGAGAGTTGTTCGGGAGCAAGGTAGTGGCGGTCACCTTCGCCGTCGATACCTGGTGGAGCTGGCCATTGACTCGCAAGACCAAAGTCTGCAATCTTCAGCCCACCCTCAAAGTCGATGAGGATGTTGGCTGGCTTCAAGTCAAGGTGGATATAGCCTGCGTCGTGAATGGACTTGAGACCCTGTGATAGGGTTAGCGTGGTTGGTGGACAAAGACCATTTTTAGACTTACCGACAAAAGCTCCAACAGGATCTTCCAGATGCGGAAGTCGTCAAGGCGGCTGTTATAGCCGACGTTGTCAAGATACTTCCTCAAATTACCGCCCTCGCAGTACTCAGTTTGAATGTACAGGTGCTGGTTGGACTCCCAATGTGTCTTGATGTCCAGCACATGCTCGTTTCCTCGAAGAGCATAGAGGATTTCCACCTCGCGCATCTTCTTTAGACGGTCACCAGTACCGATGTACTGCTTCTTGGATTTCTTCACGACCCACACTTGGCTACCGGCAGGTGACCTAAGAGGTGAAACCTGGACTGGCTTGCTAACGCGGTAGACAGTGGAGAACTCGCCCTCTCCGCCATCTAGGGGCTTGATCTCATGGAAACGCTCGCTCAGCGACTCGTCCACATCGTTCTTGGTGAGGCCGATTGGTATGGCGCCTACACCACCAAAGTAGCCAGAATCGCGAGGCGTAGTCGGGGTCGCAGGTGCACACGACCCAAAGCTGCTGTTAAGAGGGAACGATCCGCGTCGGTTGCCAGATATGGACAGTTTGCTCGCATCGGGAGCACCAAACGATTCGGTTGCGGGTGTCTGTGGTGTGCCAAAGAGACTTCCGGCTGCTGTTGACTGCTTAGTGTTGTTCTGTGGGTTTGATGACTGGATACTTGTACGCGCGACGCGTCGCGAAAGAGGCAGAGGGCGACCAATATTCATGGAGTGCCGCAGCGACCGACTTCGATTTGCGTCAAGGGCGTGTGCAGAGGGGGACTTGTCAACCGTTGGCGTAGACTCCTCGTCATCTGACGAGCTGTCTTTGCCCGGGACCATTTCGGGGTTGGAGCGAGATGAGTACTTACTCGTAGGACGACCATCGTTGTCGGGAATGGCAAAGGTATCTGTGCCAATAGAAGGGCGCGAGCGGAACGTCTTACGGCGCAAGCTGCTCTCCTTTGAACGACGACTGGAACCACCACTGGGCTTGGTCGGAGTGGGTGGCATGTCATCGGCACTCGACTGACTGTCACCCATCCGATTCGCTGTTGGGGACTGGGCATCCGGCTGGGTGTCGTCGTCGTGGTCACCATCGATACTTACGAAGCTTCCTCGGCGCTGCATGGTATTGCCCATGTCGCCGAAAATGCTCGGTCGCTTACCAAACGAGTCGGTGGAGAACTTGGACACGTTGGCGCTGAAGGGAGTGCTAGGCGTGCCAAACTGGTGCTGAGGCGGTCGCACATCGTTACCGAAGAGACTGCCCGATCGCTTTACCAAAGGCGTGTCGAGGTTGAGGGACCTGTCTGCGGCAGCTGGAGGAAACGACTGGCGCTTTGATGGCGTGTCAGGCATGACATAGATGCCACCAGCCGCAGGCTCGTCCGCATTGCGGTTCTTCTTGGACAAAAGACCAGTGGAGAAGGCGACAGGTGGGGGCTGCGCGGCCTTGAACGGAGTGTCGAACGAGTCTTGCGAAGACTGCTCGCCGTCCTCGGCATTCGGGCGTCCAATGCCGATGGGGAGGGATCGGCTGAAGAGTGGGTTGGTTCCTGGGTTTGTGGGAGGGGCAAATGCAGGGCCGCTCCACTGAATGGCTGGTGCTCGGGGAGGGGCCATTGGCGTACCGCTGCTAAATGACGAAGTAGAAGACGGAGTATGGGCGTGTGAAAGCGGGTGTGGCCCTCCTGGTCCCGGCCGAGGGGTGGGCTGAGGCAAGCCCATGCGCCCCGCATCGAAAGTGGACTTGCGGAAGGGCGTTTGCGCGGACAAGGAAGCTGGAGGGTTCATTGTGCTGTCTAGGGACATGCGATTGCGCGTCTTGGAAGCCGCCGCTCCAGGCATTGCGAACTCGCCGTCAGGCTTGCGCGGGGTACTTGAGCGTTGCGACAGGGTTGATCTCCGAAGAGAGGTTGCGCGGCGAACAGGCGAGGTGGGCGTGGTGTTTATAGGTGAGCTGTTGAAGGAGAAGGCGTTGTTCGCGTCGTTGTTATACTTTGTGGGCGAGGTGCCCTCGGCGAAAAGGCGCAATGAGGGGGTTGGGTCGAAGATGCTCTCGAAGTCGTTCTCGAGGTGGCCGTGCAAACTGCGGCGCTTTGCCATGGGGCTGCTGCCGGGCGATCCGCTCAGGTTCATGAGTCCGTCGTTGCGCTTGAGTGGGCTTGACTTTGCGGGGGGCAAAGGCGACAAGTCAGGACGGCGGGCGAATTCAAACTTGATGGGTTTGTCATCTACCTCTAGGCGTTTGTCCATGTCCATGGTGTCGGGAGACTCTGCGCTCGGCCGTCGGGCGGGAGTGTTTTCCATGCCAGCGGTTGGTCGGGCCAAAAAGGGCGTCGCGTTGCCACCGTCGGGAGAGTCGGCCAGTGCGCGTCGTCGCGGGCTCTTGGAGTTGCTGCTGCGGGTGCGCGGTGACGAGCGGAAGGGACCTGCTGGGCGGCGCAGGGAGAACTTCTTCTTTGCGGGGGCCTGTTGCGCTAGTGGTGACTCAGGGAAGAAAGTCGCGATAGGACTGGTGGGCTTGTGCGCTTTGGGCGAAAAGGCGCGCGCAATGGCAAGTGGTGAGATGGGAGAGCGGGGCGTGTCGGAGTTGCGGAGCTGGAAGCGCGACTGCTTGGAAGGCGAGCGTGAGAGCGAGCGGCGGAGTTCTTGCAGGTGCGAGAAGTGGGCGCCGTCGAGTCGATAGCTGTGGGGGTGGGTGGGTGAGGGAAAGTGCATAGTGCCGCCCTCACGACTAGGCGAATATCCGTAGTCCATGGTTCGCAAGTAAAAGCGAGGGCTGAGGGTCTCGCGCGCTGTGGTAGCGTCCAAGGTCAGGGTCGGAATGGCAGGTGGTGATGACTCCTGGGAGGTGTCTAGGCAGGCGCAGTGGGCATGGAGAGATGGCTATTGTCGAGGCGATAGCGATAGCGCCAGGTGGGTGTTTGCAGGATGCAGACGTGTGCGGGGTGAGGGGGCGCTGGTATGAATGCGTGGAATGCTGCAGACACGTGCGCGAGGTCGTCGTCGTCTTTCTTGGCGTTGAAGAGCGGTAGGATCCACCTCAGCAAGCAGCTTGCTTGGTCCGGTAGTGATCCATACAAGGCCTGCTGATGGTGCTCACTCGGTGGGGGGCAGGATTGCAAGTTGGGAGAGGTGGGTTGGTGGTAGTGGGTGTTGTCGGCGTGTTCGTGGGCGATTCGCTGCGTGTCGTGAGGCGAAGGCGGAATGCGCGCGTGTGTTTACCTCGTCAATGGGGAAGGCGTACTCGAGCCAGGGCGCAGGCGCGTCACGACGTGATGATGCAATGCAGAGGGGAGACTTGTTGCGATCGAGCGATGAAAAGACCCTTTGTGCGCTCGACAGCGATCGGCTGGGGATGCTATGGTATATGGGAGAAGACGCGTTCGCCAGTTCGCGCTGGATGTCTTTTCGCCCGTGTGTCGTGTGGCAGGAAAGGCGGCGGGCATGGTCCGTGCACACCCTCACCCGAAAGCGCCCTGCAGCAAACCGTTAGTCCCGCCTGCCAATCGACGACATGGCAGCAGGCCCTAAATGAAGCAGCCAGGGCGAACAAGCGTTGCAAGAGACGTTTAGACACGTCGCGTACCTATTTGACTGCTGCATGCACTGCCTAAAAGTTCCACGACGCGCTGGTGCGGAGCCTCTGCCACGTTGTGTTGAACAACCGTTGTGTTGAACGGTCGTGTGTTTATTGTTATTTGTTGATCAACAACCGGGACCAAAACAACGACGAACCCTCGCCACCACACACGCACGCCTCCCCCAACCACACTATCGGCACCGGCACCAGAAAAGCTCAAACCACCGCTGGCCCGTGATTCGACCACGCCGCTAGCATACCCCTATCCACTTTTTGCATCCAAATTAGCAAATCTTATCACCTTCATGCCCGCCAGCTGCCCAAAAGGTGCGGGAAAAGGGGCTCCCCTCGGTCAGTTCACACTTGGTTGGCGGCCCGCCCGTTCCCGGCATTGAGACACAATCAGCCTGAGCCCACAATCTTATCTCTCCGCATTATGATTGACCATGCAGCTCGCCAACGTTGTCTGAGCCTCCAAGGTTCAGTTCGTATCGATTGTGCTGACTGTCAATCCAATCCACCTTCATCTATCGATAGGCCGTGCCAGATGTGAGTCTGTGATGGTGGTTGATGCCTGTGCCCAGTACGAGAGAGGGGTCATGAAAAAGACGCTTCATTCCAGAATCTAGAATCACACCACACGCAGATTCGAGCACGTCTAGTCGCTTTTCCCGAGTGATTTGAAACACAAACACCATCATTTTCATCATTTCCCATCACGTGTTTGCTCGGCCTCTCGATTGCACGGCTTCCCGTGATCCATTTGCTTTGTCGTCATTTGTTCTGGCGTCATCCGCGCGCTTGTGCGATCGAGAACAGGTTACACATGACGTAGAGCTGGAGATGCCCACGTTGCTTGCGATCGCTGAGCAGCTCATGTCGCTGCGAACTACCGAACGGCATCCGGGCCGTGGCATACAATCTTCGGTGATTGGTTCTTGCGAGCATCATAGCGACAGTTTGGAGACGACATGTTGACACAAACACGCAGGAGAGCTACGTCCATGGCACCAGTCGATCACGACATGATGAAATCATAAGCACAAATACCCTACCATCACGCGTCATCATCAAGGAATATTCGAACATGTCAAAGTTTACCTCCTCTTCGTCACGTGCCCTCATGCGGCCATATCTGCGACCTCACTGTTGTTGACGCCAAAGGCATCCCGGCTAGCCTACCAGTCCAGCATGATCAGCTGCAGGAACAGGCTTGACTGGTCATGATTTCGTGTTTCGAGAAGATCGTACCTGCTTTAGCTTCAACGCCATCTATCCTCCGTTTCCATGTGCAATCTTCGTGATCAGCAGTCGCTCGAACCGCAACAACGCTCGACCTTAATAGCACGAAGAAACAATCATGAATGGCAAAGAAATCCATACGCCCACCAGCCCCTCCCGAGAGAATCCGACCAAGCCCGATATAGCCCGCCATACGTGGTTGGCCAAACTGTGTTTCGAAATCCCGGCCTACCCAAGCTGTCTTTGTCTGGCGGACGCGATGTCGTGCAGCAGTCAGCCCTAGCCGCACTTGCGGCAGCTATCAACCCCACCATCCCGGTGCACCCCAGAGTTGATGTTTCAAGAAGCGTCGCAAAGCAATTTTCCGAGTTTGGAGTGCAGCTGAGAGTAGTGGCCCAATACGATCGCTATGGTGATGGATTTGGCGTGTCTCATTAGGCTTGAAGACATGGCAAGGACAGAGACGAAACATGAAACAAGACGAGGCGAAATCCGGGCAGAGTATGTCTATCAATAGTTAGGTCGGTCTATGCCATGTCCACAGCTGCACTTACTGGGGCTGACGAGTAAGTTACTCTGGGCCTCAACATTACTGCCTGATGATTTACAGGGTCAGGAGATGACAGATCCACAGTATATCCCGTCGCTAAGGGGATGTGCTCGCCGCAGGCACCAGCGCTGCGCGCCTTCGTATTTCTCATCGCAGGCCTGGGTCATCCTTGAATGATGGGGTTAGACATGGGCCGCGTAGATCTGGTCTGCTTGCGTGATTGTGAGATTAAGAGTCAGGCGCATGTCAAACAGTCATCTCACGCTTCATTGGATGAGTCAGATGCAATGATTCTGGCGGAGTTTTGCATACCATATTGTCTGGAATATTAAGTCAAGGTAAACATTCTTGAATAAAGATTCATCTGCGACTATAACAACCAAATGACGCCGCGTGTGTAATCTTATTGCCCAATCTACTGGAGCGGATGAGGCGACAACTCCGTCAATGCCTGTTCCTGGTGGTCTACAAATCAAATGCGTCCACAGCCCGACAATATTCGTCCCAGTCCACCAGTCGGAGCAGAGGACTTCAAATCTGGTTTCGAAACTTTGGAAGCTTCCTCTTCTAGAAGATTATGACTGTGTCGTGAGTCAGATGCCGGATGGAAAAACGTTAATCCTGTATATGCAGTCAATGGCGGGGTGAGTCAAAAAGTTTGGCGGGGCAATTTGTCCCATCGCGCCGCCCACACGAGACAAACTACAACACTCTCCAATCGCAACAATGGCTGACGAGCAACCCGCATCCCAGCCACCGGCTGCTGAGGCCAAGGACCTCCATACCGATCCTGTAACCGGCGAGAAGATCTCTAAGAGTGAACTCAAGCGCCGCCAGAAGCAGCGCGAGAAGGACGAGAAGAAGAAGGAGAAGGAAGCGTCACTACCCGCGCGGCCCAAGAAGGAGAAGAAGGACGATGTCGAAGAACTTAACCCAAACGTATGCATGCTTTCAAGATGCGATCAATTAGACAAATTTCTCATCGTATGCAGCAATACTTTGAAATTCGCTCCAACAAGATCAACGCGCTCCGAGCCTCCAAGCAACCTAACCCCTACCCACACAAGTTCCACGTCAACTACAAGCTCGCCGACTTTGTACGCGACTACTCGCATCTCAAGAAGGGAGAGACAGAGCCGGAGAAGGAGATTCGCATCGGTCTTCGCGTCATCACACAGCGATCCGCCTCCAATGCGCTCCACTTCTATGTTTGTGCGTATATGGCATAGTGACCACACAATCCCAACTAATCGCTTGTAGGCAAGGCAGAGGGCGTCAGCATTCAGGTCATGTGCCAATTGCAGGAGTCCAAGGCCGATGTACCCTTTGAGAAGCAACACGAGAACATCCAGCGTGGTGATATCATTGGTGTCATTGGCTTCCCCGGTCGAACTGCCCCCAAGAAGGGTGGTGAGGGTGAGCTGAGTATTTTTGCGCGCGAAGTCATCCTTCTTACGCCATGCTTGAGGATGTTGCCGACAGAGCACTTGTAAGTCTCATTCAGGTTCGGGAATGAACTATACTAATGCTTCGATAGTGGTTACAAGGACCAGGAGCAACGTCACCGCAACCGGTTCCTCGACCTCATCATGAACGACTCTACCCGCAACACTTTCATTACCCGTACCAAGATCGTCAAGGCCATTCGCAAGTACCTCGATGACCGGGACTTCCTCGAGGTTCAGACACCCATGATGAACAAGATCGCTGGAGGTGCTACAGCACGGCCGTTCAAGACATACCACAACGAGCTGGACATGGAGCTCTACATGCGTATTGCACCAGAGCTGTACCTCAAGGAACTTGTCGTCGGAGGTCTGGAGAGGGTCTACGAAATTGGTCGCCAATTCAGAAACGAGGGTATCGATCTCACACACAACCCCGAGTTCACCACTTGCGAGTTCTATATGGCATACGCCGACTACAACGATGTCCTGAACATGACCGAGGAGCTCGTCAGTGAGTTGGTCAAGGAGGTCACAGGTAGCTACGAGACCGTCTACCACACTCAGAGCGGCGAAGTATACAACGTCAACTGGGCCAGGCCATGGAGGCGAGTCGAGATGATACCCGCATTGGAGGAGGCAACTGGCGAGAAGTGGCCACCAGCGACTGAATTACACACTGAGGAAACCAACAAGTTCCTCAAGAACGTGCTCAAGAAGGTCAACGTCGACTGCTCAGAACCCCGCACCAACGCAAGAATGATCGATAAGCTGGTCGGCGAGTTCATCGAAGAGACTGCCATCAACCCTACCTTCATCATCGGTCACCCAGAGGTCATGTCACCACTTGCCAAGTACCACCGCGATATCCCAGGTCTCTGCGAGCGTTTCGAGGCATTCGTGTGCAAGAAGGAGATTTGCAACGCGTATACTGAGTTGAACGACCCCTTTGACCAGCGTCTGCGATTTGTAAGTTGCTAAGATGGGTGATGATAAATATGTACTAATGCGTGTATAGGAGGAGCAAGCAAACCAGAAGGCGGCAGGTGACGACGAAGCACAGCTCATTGACGAGACCTTCTGCCAGTCACTCGAGTACGGTCTGCCACCAACCGGTGGTTGGGGTATGGGTATCGACCGACTGGTAAGAATGCCGATGTGTAGATCGAGCTTGAAACGAATGCTAACTCTTACAGGTCATGTTCTTGACCGACCACTACACCATCAAGGAAGTTCTCACTTTCCCCTTCATGAAGGATATTGTCGAAGACAAGAAGCCCGCGGCGGAGGTCGTCGACGTCGCGCCTAAGCCCACAGAAGGCATTCGTGAGTACAGCCTATTCCTCAAAGCCTGTCCATACTAACCTGTGTCAGCCCACAAATAGTTTTAGCATATCATCACTGGCGTCATCGGTAGGAATTGATCAGGGCAGGAAGTAAAGAAGGTTATGCTTCATGAGTAACGCAAAACAAAAAATGATCATCTGATCACGTTATGAGATACAGTATTCATTGTTCGTGTAGAAATTTACCTCAAATCGATCTTCCAAGTTCAAGTTTTATCCTTGTCTCATTCCAGATACAGAGGAATGGCTTGACAACATCGAATTCCTATCCTATCACCCCTTTTACCCAACCCCCTAATACTTGGGCTTAAAAGGCAGCGTAGCCATGAGCCTGCCCGGCTGCGCATCCACCCCAAGCAACTGATACAACCACTTCAAAATGATAAAAAAGCTATCCGGCTCACCCATATGTTTCTTCTCCTGCACAAACCTTGCCTCCTTGGGCATTCCATGCTGCAAGGCAAGATAATAATCGTCAATGGGAAAAATCTCATCCTCAGTCCCATTCACCAGTAACAATCTCGCACAAACGGGTTTATCAAGCGTGCCATCATTCAGCAGCGAGAACTTTGCGCTTGCCTCTTGCTTGAAAGCTTCAACGTCGTTTCCGTACCCCCATTTATACGCCAGTGTATCTGCTAGATCAAAGGGATACTCGAGATGATTTACATGGTCCAGCCACTCCCGGTCGAACATGTGATGACACCCACCCCCCAACGCCACCACGCCGGCAAGACGCTCCGGGTGCGTGTGCGCGACGCGAATGGCGTAGTAACCGCCTGTGCTAAACGCCCAGATAGCCGTTTTCTTGGTATGCAAGCGCGGTTGCGCTTCGACCCAATCGAACAACGATGAGTAAAGGCGGTCTGGCGACGTAGGGTCCGATACATTTGCGGGACAATCGCCTGTACCGGGGATCTCCAGGACGATCGGATGCAAGCGGCCGCGGGACGGATTCCATTCCTTCCGGACGGTCAGTTCAGTGCCGTCACCCATCGAGGCCTGAAGAGATGCAGCGGGGGAGGGGACGGTGGCTTCCTCCGGTGCTGACTAGGAGATGAGATAGTACCACGGGTATCGTGTCGCCTTCATTTTGGTTGCCCGGTGCGTATGCGGTACCAATACCTCTTTCAACGGGATGCGGGCGCAACGAGAGACCTTTGAGACAGGCGTCTTTACCTAGGGCCCAGGCTTCGCGCTGGAGCGGGCTGCGGGGCGCAGGGAAGCGGGCGATGCGGTAGACGGCTGAGGCGCGGAGGTAGTATTCTGAGGCTTTTTCTAACTCTCCGGCTGCTTCGGCGGTGGTGGCGGTGGTGTAGAGGGATTGTGCGGTGGGGAAGAAGGTGCGGGCGTAGGTGTCCCAGTTGTAGGGTTCGCGCATTTGGGAGGCTTTCATGCTGGCGAGGATGGGGGCGAAGTCCGAGGCGGTGCCGAACATGAAGGGGTAGACTCCCATTGTTGCCTGGGGGGAGGGTTAGTTGGTGGAGATGGTTAGGTTAGGGGTTGGAAGGGTGGGCCTGGATATTTTGGGGCTATTTGTGCTGATGTTGATGGAGATTGGACGTACGTGTGGCTTCCATTTTGTCTCCCATAGTTGCTCAAACGACTCGTGGTGTTTTGCTGGTATGCCGAGTTTATCGTGGATGAAGAATTTACCACCTGGAGCCGCCATGTTGGTTGTTCCTCTTTCCTAGTCTACTATCTCTTTCTTTGTCTTTTACTAATCAGTATAGTGGTAGCTGTATATCGTACACTGGCGGTCTGTCCATATGTCTGTGGTCCGGTGCTATTATTGTTGAGAGAAAAAAGGCGGAGAAACAACAATCCATTATCTTCCATTCTGATTTATTTATATCAGGCTCTTCTGTACTAAGGTTTGCGGATCGCCACTTTTGGGCAACGTAAAAAAACCGCTGCAGTGGATGATGGGGCGGTCCGCTGCAGACCCGAGTTTCGGGAGTAAAGGCTGCAGGGTCCGTGGGCGGGGAGCCGGTATTTGGGTGAATCTGCGAGATTTGCATGTTTGCAGGAATGCCGTACTGCGCAACACAGATGTTTGAAGATGATGGAGGGTTTCCGCAAGGCTGATATCATGGAGAGGATTTCGGGCCGATGGGGTACCGGGGTTTTGTGATATCAGTCTTGCTTCGGTGATACGGCGCTGATTTTCAAGACAATGGTATTCATGTTGTAGTTCTGTTATTCAAACATGACATTCTGTATCTGCGGAAAAGCAATTATATGTGCTAGAATGCGATGGATCATTGACCGATTGACCGCTTTGCTGCACAGGCAGACAGCCAAGATCCGCTTCGGCAGTAAGGTACCGACAGGGCTGTCCTCAACGGTGTGACATGCAGTTAGAATGATGCATCTTTTACGTTGCATAAACCAATTGGAAAAGATGATCGTATGCCATTTACAAACTGTCCGTTGTGTTGCGTCGAGACATGAAGACGAAAGATGATGTAAGCAGGGGGTGTGAGAGCCCAGAACTCGGACACCGGAACGTGGGGGTTGCGTCAGGCGGGGCCATCCCAAGTTTGCGCGCGTACCCCTCGATTGACCTGCCGTGACACCTTTACGTTCTAGAAGTTTATTCTCAACTCTTTTCGGTCATCCTTAGACTCCATTCATCATCTCACCGCCTGCAGGAAAAGCCTTCAAGCGATTGGTAGACGTTCGCGGCCGGCCGCATTATCATTCAGCCTTTGTAAGCCTCACTCACCGTACTACGGCCAAAAGCAACCTGGCCGGGTGGAGCTGGTAAATATCTTATACAAAAGTGGGATTAGCCACCTCGCAGGGCCATTGAGCTCTGGCCTTGAGTTGCAGCGCCTCCACAGCGCATCGTCATTCACACACTAGCAACTACTTCAAGTTCCCCACCCGTCGTCCTCAACCCCGTCCCCTGAAACACGACCCTCTCACGATAATACCGACCGCATCAAACAAATCTCAAAACCGCAAATATGGTGTTGCTAGGCGCAAGAAAACCACCGTCCCGCAGGGGTACGCTCCCCGCCCAACATGATAAGGATAGAAGGAATAACCGATGCTAGGCTCCATGGCGGATATGCCAAAGGATCTGAAGACGCAGATCGATAAGCTGGAAGAGCTGTTTGTCGTAAACACAGACAAGCTGAAGCACATCACGAACCACTTTGTTAGCGAGCTCGAGAAGGGCTTGTCAGAAGAGGGAGGAAGTATTGTGAGTCGCGACTCATACTGGACTGGCAGAACAGAGCTGACGCAGATAGCCCATGATTCCCACTTGGTGCATGGCTTTCCCCGATGGCCACGAGACCGGCAGCTACCTTGCGCTCGACATGGGCGGTACCAACCTACGCGTCTGCGAAGTCACCCTGACCGAAGAGAAGGGCGAGTTTGAGATTATACAATCAAAGTACCGCATGCCCGAAGAGTTGAAGACGGGAACCGCCGATGAGCTTTGGGGATACGTTGCCGACTGTCTGCAACAGTTTATCGAATACCACCACGAGGGCGAGAAGCTCGAGACCCTGCCTCTCGGGTTCACATTTTCATACCCCGTCTCGCAAGACGCCATTGATCACGGTGTCCTACAGCGATGGACCAAGGGCTTCGATGTTGCCGGTATGGAGGGCGTGGATGTCGTGCCTGGCTTCAAGAAGGCGCTGGAAGACCGTGGCGTGCCCATCAAGCTCGCAGCTTTGGTCAACGATACCACCGGTACCATGATTGCGTCTGCATACACAAACACCAGTATCAAGATTGGTTGCATTTTCGGTACTGGTTGCAACGCTGCCTACATGGAAGAGTGCGGCGAGATCCCTAAGCTGAAGCACATGAAACTTGACCCGAAATTGCCAATGGCCATCAACTGTGAATGGGGCGCGTTCGATAATGAAAAGAAGGTCCTCCCAAGAACACCCTACGACGTCATTATTGATAAGGAGTCACCACGACCCGGTCAGCAATTATTCGAGAAGATGGTCGCAGGTCTATACCTGGGAGAAATCTTCCGTCTAGTTCTCCTGGATCTACACAAGGGTAACGAATGCTCAATGTTCGAGGGCCAAAATGCCAGCAAGCTCACCAAGCCCTATTCGCTCGATGCCGGTTTCCTCTCGCAAATCGAAGAGGACCGATTCGAGAACCTGCAGGACACGGCCGATCTCTTCCAGGAGTCTCTCGGCATTACATGCACAAAGCCCGAACTTGAGCTTATCCGCCGTCTTGCGGAGCTCATCGGCACCCGTGCCGCCCGTCTTACCGCCTGCGGTGTCTCTGCCATTTGTAAGCACAAGAAGTGGGATGAGGTGCACGTCGGTGCCGACGGCTCCGTCTTCACAAAGTACCCCCATTTCAAGATCCGACAAGCCCAAGCGATGAAGGAGATCATGGACTGGCCCGCCAAGTATGGAAAGGGCAAGAACGATCCCATTGAGGTGCTTCCTGCTGAGGATGGCTCTGGTGTTGGTGCTGCTCTTATCGCTGCACTTACCGTCAAGCGTGCGCAGCAGGGTCTCTTGGCTGGTATCCGGGATCAGGACGCGTTGTTGGCCATGGCACCGAAGAAGAAGTAACCGATTTTGTAACGGTTCTCGATAGATCTATGATGAAGCAATTTTGCGGGTCTAGCACACTGTCTCACAATATCCCACGTGGCTGGTTCATGTAAAAGACTCTTTATAGCACTCGAAATTCTGCTTTGTATTATGTGTGTAACCTAAAGGAGTGTGGATACCGCTTTGCAAAGTAACCCTCCTAAACCAAATCATCCTCGACCTAAGACAAAGTCATATGAGCATCGTATTCTTCCCATTTCTGACCTTCCTTTCAGTTCCGGTGCTTTCTCAATATGTAGGACCGGGTTCAAGATCAGAGACTGATACAGTTCAGTGCATTAAGACTGACCAGCGTGTTCTGTCACGAATACAAATTAGCATTTAGCTGGGCATACAAGACGGAAGAGCGGTATGAAAACAGCGTTGGAAAGAATCTACTCACACTCGTCGTAGGATTAGCAGAGCAGCATTTCATAGACCCATCACAAGCAACACCCAGAACCTGAACAAGACAATCGAGCTTGAGGACATCGAGCACTGAATCTCTGCTTTTGGTCTTGCAGCACATGCGCGTGTTGTGTCCGCCGTTGCATTGTCCAGAGGGTTGGTATGTAGGCGACGATGAGACGGCGAGGGCCATTGAGAGGACGATGGAGAGGATGGTGGATTGTCTCATTTTGGAGGAGGTGTTATTGTTGTGAGGGTGATGTGATGGTGGTAGGTAAGGTGCTTGATTAGATTGAAGTGGTTGTGTTGTTCTGGTTATTTGTGCTGGGAATGGATGGTGGTGGGGTGGTCTTATATAGACAGTTTAATCGTGCCAGAGTAGAGTGGACGCTGGAGATTCCGTCTCTTCCTGCCCTTCATCTTTTTTCTTTTTTCTCGTCTGCGTAGGTGGTACAGTGTATTGCTGATCTCTCTCCATCGGGATGGAAGAAGCAATAGCTGTTGCAATTGGGATGCCGCTTGCAGTTTCTCGGCCTCCACACGCCGTTTAGCTTTCATCCTACATACTCGCTCAGGTGTAGCTTGGTGTAGTATTGCTACTACTGGGACCGAACTGATCTCGAATTGCTTTTTTGTGACCAGCATAATTCTGGAAAACCGTTACTTGGTTGGTCCAGAGGTGGTTCGCTACATGTGTACTAGATGGCTAGCTGCCAAAAACAAAGTAAACCTCGTTCAAAGGAAAGCGTACCCGTTGTGCGAACGCGGGGTTCGCGTAAGACAGGGCTTGTATAGCTTTAAGATCAGGTGCTGGAGCACTTTAGACACGTATATTGAGCCACTGACGACGCTCGCTACCAGAAGTATTATCATTAGTATCTTCCATATGAGGCCTTCGACGCGTAAATGCCCGGCTATGTCTGGGTGCCGACGAAGCAGTTTTGCGGTCCTGAGTTCGATTTGTGCATAGCGAAATACTAGGCACAAGCAGAGTAAGAGAAGTCCACGGGAGGGCAGCTTCTGCAACAAATTTCAACGTATTCCCAGAACCAGGTGACGTACCCGCGTTCATAGGCCATAGAAATGACTGATTACAGGTTGCATACAAGTCCGGCTCTAACTATCAAGACCTAAGGTGCTCCCCGCTTCCGCTCTGACCGGCCCTGCGCTAATCACGCTCCTCTACGCAGAACGACCGTAAACTGAGGTTCTACTGCAGCTCTCGTGCTTGGTGCTCTTCAGCCGCAATGCAGATCTTGTCAACCTTGGCACGCTGCTCTATCAGATTTGCGGTTGATGTGCAGCGCCAGCATCGCGAGTAGCGCTGGTAAGCCAGGGTAAGTTTAACTAGCGGAAGAGGGTCTAGTCAACTAGTGCTCGCATCCAACACTTAGCATGTGAAGTCACAGCTTAGCTATTGAGCAATGCCACCGCACCGCTGAGCAGCTGCCAGCAACACCGCGCGAATCGAGCAAAGCTGGTGCACGACTGGCTGTGCGACGCGAAGGACTGACGGTGGTTGTTAGTGCTAGACTATGTAGACGATATTTCTGTGCTCTCTCTGACAGGCGGCGGCGGCACGTGGCAGTCTCTAGCAGCATCTATCGAGCTATCTGCCTTCGAACAGGCATGGCTCTGTTCTTATGACGAGTCAGACTAAGCAGCAGGTCGTGGAGGACACCGACACCATACTGATCGAGCCGATTCACACACTCTATTCTGTAAGAAGCTTAGAGGCATAGAAAAGGGAGAAGATAGCATCACTGGCCTAACGACGACATTGCATCATATGCCGCTTGCTCTGTTGCAGGCAGCGGAATACATCCGAAAGCGAGCGCCGAAATGTTCAGTGCAGCAGTAGCTCAACGAGTATGAGCAAAGAGACAACAGAAAGACAAGTCTTCTGAAGGAAGATGATTGCCATCTTCGCTGAGATACAGCAGCCATCAACTGTGTCCTTGTAACATAACAGGTCTCGTTCGACCACATACGGAGCGCAAGAGAGTCAGTAACAGGCCTGCTCGCGCTCATAAGCTTATTCGATCAATAGGGGATACGGGAAGCTCTGTTTCGCCGCTAGGATAGTATAGCGACTAGAGAGATGTCAGTTGTGTAGGTCATCAATAGGTTGCAGGACTACTGATTCATTACAATGGCTGGGAATACAACCGCGTTCAAGGTACACAGCCTAGGAGAAGTGCCAGGCGCTTTTTTACGCGTGTTAACAAGGAAGAACAGGCGATATAGAGCAAATGATGTCAGTGGTGTCGGTGGAAGTCAGAAGCGAGGTTGCTTGGAAAAGAGAATGCAGGGATGCTGAGCATCAGGGATGGTGGACTAGCCTGAGCGCTTGGGGACAAGTACGAAGAGACGGAAGCGATGGACAGACAGACGCTGTGCACGGTGCTAAAAAATCAGAACTCAAAACTGCTTACGTACGTGTACCAATAAAGGCTATCGGGCCTTTGGTACCAACAGGGCCGAAGTGTGCTCGCGTCCATGCTGGCGGGATTATCAATGTCCGGTAGGTTCCGCTGTGGTTTGGCAATTGTATGTAAGGTCTAGTTGTAAGGAGCAACATATGGTATATTGGCACGATTCTTAGTTAGTAGGCTGTAGTGAGGTTGAGCCGCCCCTTTGGTGTTCGGAGTGATGAAATGACGAAGCGTGTATATCTTGGGATGTGCTTGGCCGCTTGCTGACGGGTAGGGCAAGCTTGGACTATTGATGGGGAAGTGGTGAGGTTGAGGTTGAGCTCGTGTACGTGGGATTTAATACCGACGGTGCATAAAGTTCGTGCTGGGGAGAAAGTAATGAATGATGATGCAGTGTAGAATGGGTGGACTAAAATATACGGTTATTGCGAGAGTACGCGGTATCGCGACTGGCAGACTCCGCAACAATCAATCAGATCGGCATGATTGATTCCTATCTAGGTTAAAGGCTGCCTAATGAAGTAATTCTTTAACCTATATAGGAATCAATCATGTCGATCGATTGATTGTTGCGGAGTCTGCCGACTGGTCTTGGACCAACTTCGACTTGGAATATCACCGAAGCTGACTGCGTCTGGAGTTGATTCCGATGGATCCGATATCCGTGCCGTAGCATTCCGCGTTGGAATTGCGATACAAAGATATCCATCTACATCGTCTAGTTCCCATTGTCAACCCCATCCTTCACCACCTGGGCACCTACCTAGTCCTGCTCGGACTTCCCAGCCACCCACCATGGGCAACACATGGAGTATGCTGTTCCCTCCCGCGCCCCAATTCACAGAAGCCAATCTATCCGACCTATCCGGGAAAGTTTACATCGTAACCGGGTCCTCCGCCGGCTTAGGCAAAGAACTAGCCCGCATCCTCTACTCGCACAACGGCATTGTCTACCTCGCCACACGGAACGCCGAGAAGACAGAGGGTGTAAAAACCTGGATCAAAGAACAGCATCCAGACTCCAAAGGCCAGCTACACTACCTCCACCTCGATCTCAACGACCTCGAGGGGATAAAAGCTTCGGCTGAGTCCTTCCTCGCAAAAGAAGATAGGCTCGATGTCTTATTCAACAACGCAGGCATTATGGGGGATTACAAGGGAAGAAAGACGAAACAGGGGCATGAGATGCACCTCGGCACGAATTGCGTGGGCCCGTTTCTATTTACCAAATTGCTGACGCCGCGGCTGGTGGAGACTGCGAAGAAAGAGGGACAAGAAAAGGGGAGTGTGAGGGTAGTTTGGGTATCATCTAGTGCGGCGCATTGGAACGCGCCAAAGTACGGACTCGAAATGGATAATCTGGACTACAGCAAGAAACATCAGAACTTGGATTTCATGAAGTATTCAAGTAGCAAAGGGGGGAATGTACTACACGCCATCGAGTTCCAAAGGAGATATGGAGCCGAGGGTGTGATCAGTGTGGTAAGTATCTTCCCATCTCTTCGTTTACCTCCTGTTTTCTATTTTCTGTTTCTTTGTTACCTTGGCTGACACAGTGGGTGAATTAGTCCCTCCACCCAGGGGTCCTCAAAACGGAAATATTTAGAGATTCGCCGAAATGGAAATCTGCAATGCTCTACTTTATTATCTATCCCACAGTGATGGGTGCGTACACGGAGATCTATGCGGGCTTATCGCCGGATGTCGTGGGTCTCCAGTCGAATGAGTGGATCGTTCCTTGGGGCAGGATGACTAAGTTGAGGAAGGATTATAACAGTGAGGAGGGCATGAAGAATGCAAAGGCATTTTGGGAGTGGTGTGAGAAGGAGGTTGAGCCGTTTGCTTAAGAATTCGGGGGTAATGCTGGTGTAGATGCAGGGGTGTGACAAATATGGAGGCTGTATAACTCCATAAATAATGAATTTGACCTTGGATAACGACTTATGTGATGTGTAGACGGAGGATGTAAGCTAACACCCGAGTCGGCTAGCCTCACATCTGTGGAACTACGTCACTGTGGGGACAATGTGGTGGGAAAGAGACACCGGAGATAGGAGACTACCAACTCTGAAAAAAGGATTACCATTCTATAAAACACCAGACCCATGCAACTACCTCATCACGCCATCATCAAACCTACTCACCCTGTCATTACACCTCATGACTTCGTCATAACATCCATACCCCACCGCATCATCACACCTTCCCTATACAAACACTCCAAACATCCAGCCTAAGTCTCACAGCAAGCCCAGCAAGTCTATCAAAGGTTAGCATCTTCCGCTCGCAATCACATTCAAGACAGAACCACTTACACCAAGCTGCGTGCTAACCCACCCATCCTGGCACTCACCCTGCTCACTTTCGCAAGTCCTCTCGCAAACCTTGTCGTAAGTTGCCGGATCATTAGGAACAGGAGATGGCATAGGGTAAGGGTCCTCGTTGTCATCGGGGATCGGCGAGGGCATAGGGTAAGGGTCCTCGCTACCGTCGGCTTCACAGCAAGCCCAGCAGGACCCGATTTGCTCACTGACCCATCCGGTCTGGCACTCGGTGGGTCCGTCGAAGCAGGTGCGCTCGCAGATCTTAGGAGTGGACTCATCAGGGACGGGGGAGGGAAGCGGGTACGGGTCCTCCGAGCTATCTTCGGTGGTGGAGGCTTCGCAGCAGGTCCAGCAGGTGCCGACTTGAGTGCTGACCTGTGGGGTTTTGTTAATATTTTTACTTGACAAGTGTTTGTCCATGAAAATTAGAAGAGAGATTATGAATTACCCATCCGGCCTGGCATTCACTCGGTTCATCATCGCACATCCGCTCGCAGATCTGGGACGATGGTGCTGCGCTAACGGAAGTGGGTGTGTCTGGTGCGGGAACACCCGGGATCCATTTTCCGGGCTCGGAGTCCGGTGCAGGGACACCGGGAAGGTACTGTCCAGCGGGCTCGCATGTTGGGTATGCGGCGGCCGAGGCGGCGAGAAGGGTTATGGGAAGGAGAGTAGAGAGGTGCATTTTGAGCGTTGAGTTGAGTAGAATTGTTGTGTAGAAAATGTAATGGTTAAGCAAGACAAAGGTTCGTATATAATTCCAAAGAGCGGTTGGTCCCGTATCGATCTTTGGTTGCCGTAATAAGCGTATGATTGCGTATGTGTACTGTAAAGTGAAGCTGCCTGTCTGGATATACCGTCCAACCTACTTCTCACCCACAGACTATATACCTTTTCTCCGCCATATCCCGTCCCGTCCCTCGCATGCTCTTGACCTATCTCACTTACAAGCAAGCAAAAAATTAAAATTAAAATTAACCTTAACGCAGCCAGCCCGCCATTCCGCCAGCCCGTTCCAGCCGTCGGAATGTCGTTATGCAGCGCTGCCCAGCAATGCTGACTATAATCTCACCACCAAGACATTTCCTCCAAGCAAATCATCAGCCAGCAAGTGTAACCCTGGATTTCCTCTCCGCCGCTTTCACGCCACACACCTGAGCCTCAATCCGCACGTGCAAAGGCGTGTTCGTGTAAGCCGCCACAACCCGCCTGTCTCCGTCCGCTGAATTGCACATGCAGAGCTGAATGCTACACATACCGCCAGACCACCTTACCATCATCATCATCATCATCATCAACAATCCCTCCCAAGCTCCATGCCCTTGGCATCCTGCACAGACACCCAAAGTGTGCCCAATTTCCAGCCTGCAATACGAGGAATACAGTGGTGATCATTACGTGAAATTGAAGAGGCGGAACGCGGTGGAACCAGCTGCGGCAGGGAAAAAGGTAGGAGATGGGGACTTGGCGGTGGGTAAGTCCTACGTAGGCTATACTATACTGTAGGGACCTCGGGAGCTGTGGCTGTAGGTACATATTAGGGTGCAGGGGTGTGCTTCCTTGCTTACCCGAATTGCGGTTCGCGTGTCTGTGGGTTGGATTGCGGGAAGAGCGAGAGACGAGATACAAGTTATAACTAGTTGCGATAACATTCGATTGTGCGCATAGTTAGACATCGCTCTTGCCTAGTTACCGTACAATACAATACAGAGATACCTATGTAGACACATGCTTACATGACGTGTGCTATCTGCACGCGCGCAAAGAAACCACTTGGCAAAGAGGAGTACGCGAAAGCATTCCAACCGATCTCGTCAAGAAACCTCGTAATCGCAACTAAGACAGGGACCCGAGATGCAGGTTCGTAGCTTCCGCGCTAGAGATCTGCGTTGTTTTTCTTGGCGCGGGGAAAGAGAGCGTGTGTCACGTGTCACGTTTACGTGGTGTGATCTTGTGAAGGACTAGCTGGTATATTAGTAACGTAAACATGTGAATAGGATCTGGGTTCTACGAATATGCGCTGAGAATCTTTTGGAATTGGGACTCTCTGGTTAGGTTTGTTGGGCTTCTCTCGGTCGATGCAATGCAACCCAGCCAGCCAGCCAGTCCTCCAAGTCAACCTTGGGACTGAAGTTACACGACACCGCATCATCACACGTGCGTATGCGCAGGACTATTATCCAAGACCCCTAAGTTATCCCTAGGTTAGGACAAGCGGTCTGTGAGATGAGAAGATGGCGGAGCTGGCTACGTTTGTTCAGCCCTGACAGTCCCGCTTGGCTAGACGTCAGATTGAGCTTCAGCTTTCCAGCCCATTATACTCTGCCCCAGCCACGCACGAGAACCAGAGAAAAACACCGATGTTCCGGTCTAGAAAATGGCGACAGCATTCGGTGGACTCGCTACACCACCAGGAACCTACACGCATCGTCAGCATCTCTCTGCACACTGCCACCACGGTGCCGTCAACCCCAATGTCTCACATCAAGACCGGTTTAGCTCAGCTCGGGGAGTAAGGAAAGAAATTACACGTACTTTCAACGGCACACTACTGACGAAGCAGGTGCTCCGCCCCAACTCCACACTTTTCTCACACAAGCGTTCTAAATCGAACATCTCGCCAATCATGACGCCCCACCCACCGAGAAGGACTTGGTGTATCAGTCCACCGCCTTGTAGTTCTTGCTCCCAGGGTTTTCCGGCCCAGAGGTTGCCTGGGGTGGTGTGCGGACCTACTAGTGGTGCCATTTCGAAGGAGGGGGCGTCAGATGCTGGGGAATGTTTAGTGATGTTGTTTGGCTTTGAGGATTCCGGAAGTGAAGAGACGCCAAAAATGAATAGAAGAAGAGAAGTAAACGGGAAATAGTAAGTAAGAAAAAAACGTACCAACAGCAGCAAACCCACTCGCCCAAATCCACCTCAACACTCCCTCATCGCTCCTCACCCCCAAAAACTGCGGCGGCTTCCCCGCCAACGCCTTCCGCTCCTCCTCCCCCAAACCCGCATAATCCCTCGTAAACCCCGTTCGCAGAAGTAACAAATCCCCCTCTCTAGTCTGCACGCCCGTCTCTCTTAGCATCTCCTCCAACACCTCCGCTCCTATACTCTCCGCTTGTAGCGCATACACCTCTTTCTCTCCTCGCCTCTCCAGCCACCGCGGGTAGTCTAGAATAACACCCCTCGTTACAATACCGCCTTTGTGCGCTACACCGTCGATGCCTAGTATATCTGAATCCTCAAGATCCTCCTGCGTTCGGCCCCCGTAATACAGCTTTCTTCCCTGATACCCATAATGCCGCAGTCCGTCCCATTGGCTACTGCACTGCGTGTTGAAATCCAGATGGTCGTCGTTGACGGTTCGCTTGGTGCCGTCTGGGTGGGTTTTATTGGTCATTTTATGCGCAAAAGGGGGCCTGGAGAAGGAGGGGTGGGATGGTAGGTTGAGGTACCAGTCTAGGGAGATTCGGTTGCCGGTTCGGATTTCAAGGGCGGCGGCGCGGGTGACTGTGGGAGTGAGCGTGTTCAGGGCACCGAGGGTGTCGGAGGGGCCGTAGAGGGACCATGCGTTTAGGGGTGGGCCGGAAGGTGAGAGGGGGAGCGAAGAGAAGGGAGGGCGTGGTGGTGGCATTTTGGTGTTGGTGTAGGGTAGATTCAGGGTATGCAGTTAGAATTCGATGCGAGATTACTTAGAATAACTTCTCATTCAGTAGAAAAGAGATAGCTGTACATTGTATGTAATATTCCGCGAAAGCTAGAGCCTCAGTGACGTATAGTGGGGTAAAGGGCGGGGTAGCTCATCTTCACTCTCGGTACCTGCGCCGATATCCATGTATTGCGGAGATAACGAAAGTTGTCAGGAACAGAACATAGGCCTCAGCGGATGATGTACCGAGCGTTGTCTGCCAGCGTTACTAATCAAGGTCGAAGCTTCTCAGTAATGATACACGGAAATACTGTTTGGCGTTGAAGACGGTTGCAATTCATCTATTTACTGTACAAGATCAGCGGACTTTAATAGTCAGGACCCATTCCTACACCACTGCCTGCTGAGCCAGTATTCTTCAAGTGCGCACCGCTACCCTTGAATAGGCTTTGCCAGATAAAAGCCTCGCTCAGCAGCAGCTCAATGTCTTTCTCGGTCCATTGCCGCGTCGGCAGTGACTGCAAAAACATCATAATCTCCTGAAAGTCCATCTTGCGAAGCTGGTCGGACCACTTGACGAGGAAAGCGGCGCAGACGTAAAGGTGGAAGGATGAGAAACCGTCTTCTTCAGCCTGATGTAGGTTAGTGATGGGCTGCAAAATATAGAGAATGACACGTACTAGATAGGTGTCCCACATTCGTATCGTGTTCTTCACAGATATCTCACGCATTAGAAGACAATTCATCCAGCGGAAGCTAAATTGTATGAACTCCACACCCTCATTTTGGAGGTGCTTAGCCAGTTGGTCGTCGATGCGTGTGGTGAGATCTCTCAAGCTCGATACTGATCGCTGGATCCCCGGTTGATGAGCAATGTAGTTGTCTTGTATCCCGTCCAGGAGTTTTGTTAAACACCAGAATGAATCGGCCTCGACAGCATCCAAAACTTGTTTCGGTAGTTGGCCAGGGTCCATGCCGAACTCAATATCGGGATCTGAGATGTAAGCACCTAGGAAGACCTGCCAAAACGGCGTTACCAAATCGTTGATACCCTGCACATATCCTGAGGCGGGGTGCCGAATGGCCCACACGTATAGTATCCGTTCGAGCGACCGTTGCGTTGCTTCGTAGCTGTAGAGTTCGAGATGTGGGTTTGTCCGAGGCACATCGATACTAATCTGATGCCATATGGCTTCGTCCAAGCCGCGTCCTCGCCCACGGTTCGCGGCCATTCCAGACGCGACGGCGCTTGCACTACTTGATGTACCTCGCTCAAAGGCCTGTCGTACTCCTTCGAGGTATTCCTTCCGCTTGCGTTCTAGTGTTGCGACCCTCCTCTCGCTGCTGGTTGGCAAGTATCCCAATAAGACCTGCCATGTCATTGCGCGCACTTCGGATGGTACACCTGACCAGGCAGAGTCTCGGAGATCTGACAATGAGATAGTGCTAGCTTGTAGTATCCTCTTGAACTTGTTAATCCTTGTCGTTCGCGCCGAGTGTTCTTCGATCTGCTTTGCCGACGCGTTTGGGGCAACTGTGGGATGGGAAATAAGATGTAAAGAGTTTGCGGGGTCTCTAAGGATCTCTTGATATTGTGGGCGTAGAATCTTTCCTTCTGTCTTCTTGGCGGTAGGATAGTTGGGTATGCCGCGTTCCTCTGCTATATCCCCACTGTCTATCCCTCGCCATGCTGTTGCACCCGCACCATCCCTACTAACAGTCCCACCTGAATCATTTGCCTTGATTGTTTGTTTCCGTCGACCTTTTCTCCGCATGTTCGCAATGCTGGGTAGTCCGAACTCGTCCTCGTCGTCCTCGAACATGTTATCTGCGTCGTCCTCATCTCCCTCGTCCCAGTCCTGGTGCGTGTCGTTCATAAAGTAGCTATACGTCGCTCGTGAGGGTCGGGGCGATATTGTCTTGCTTGATCGGCTCGGCGCAGTGCTCGATTCGCGACTGTGGGTGGCTGATGGCGGGGTCCGCGGTCGCGAGTTTGAGCCCGAGACGCTCCTTGAACAATCAGTCTCCATTAGAAGCACTCGTTTTGACCATTAACGTACAGTGAGCTGAAATTGAGTATGTCAGCATGCGAGTAGGATGCGCCAATGACCTTTTTGTTTGGCGGAGAGGTGGCCGAATTGGATGCGGTGCGCCAGAAGGGAGAGGCAGAGCTAGGCATGAATGATCAGTATCCATATCGTATATGCGACCGACGAACAAGAACATACGAGGAACGGTCTGTACGCAGGGAAGCGACGTGTTAGCTACCCTGGATATCGCAACTTTCTATGTGGTTTGGATAGACACGAACCGACCTGGACCATTTCCTAGTCCACTTATTAGTACACTCACAACGCGCGTCTCTCAATAACCAACCTGCTGCTGCTTTTTCGAGGCCATGGCTGAGTGCGTGAACAAGAGTGTTTCGAAGGAACCCCGCTGCAATACACCGAACTCCAGCCTGACCAGGGAACTGCCGCTCGTGCATGCACCCATCGCGCTTGATGCACCAAGCCTAAATGGTACT